CAGATACTATTTTTCAATCATAAAGTAAACACGATCTCTAATTGGACTTTGATTATCCATTTCATTCCTTAGTTCTTTTGTCAAGTTTAAAATTAGCAGAAACTTCTAAAATGATCATCCGACACTGAAAGGATTCGTACTTATGGAGAGTGAGTCAAGATAAATGAAATTGGTTTGTTTTAAACTCCTTCCATGGAGGATACTTGGAAATAATCTGGCTTTTAAAAGAAAGATATACAAAGTGTTCCAGAAGGATCTACAGATGATAGATTTAGTTTATGATTAGAGGATTCAAAAGAACTAGTTGGAAGTTCAAATTTCCACTTATCACTGGACAGTTTACAGTCTCCCAGTAGATTGAAGTCTTTGAGGGCAAGACTTTTTGCCTTAATGGTCTACATGCCCCATTTTCTGTCTATTGGCAGAGTACTGTGTGCATGACAGACACTCAATTCACTCTGTTGATTTTTCCTGCCAAATTGAGTACAGTTTAAATGAATATTACTATTACTTGAGTTAATAGTGAAAATTAAATAGGTTAAAAATTAAATATTATTTGAGTAATCGGAATGCACAGCGTCAAAGGCAGTCATTAAGAACATCAATTTTATAACCAGATTGTCTGAATTTGAATCCCAACTTTATAACTTATTAGCTGTGCAGCTTAGCCAGTTGACCTAACTTCCCCATCTCCTTTTCCACTTCTTCCCTATAAAACAGGGATAATAAGAAACCTGACTAACCCCCAGTGAAGGATCAAGTGAGTTAAATTCAAGAGCTTATTGTAGTACCCAGAACATGGAGGTCCATAAATACTAGCTATCATGGTTTAACGTTCTCATAAGAGGGGCTATATGATTTCCTTTGAGAGGCCTTAGGTGGAAGGTATTCAGGCCATTCTGATTTAATTGCCTATCAAACAATGAAATTAACATTTCATACCAAATCCTTTAGCATTAAAACCAAGTTAAATATGGCTATACGGAGATATACAGTTGTCACAACAAAACTCATTATTTTGTGCAATAACTATGTGATAATAATCATAATTTTTTTAAAAAAGTTCTCCGATTTAACCTGTGAACCTGGATTTCCAAGCTCTCCTTGGTAGCCCTGTTCACCAGATTCTCCACGCACACCCTGTCAAAAAATAAAAATAAAAAGACATCATCAGTGCTCCTATTGAAGGCAGCCTTCCTGAAAGATGTCACTTGAGAGCCCCAAGGGAAAGACTGAAAAAATATTCGACGGGTTGTGATCAATCCTCCTCGAGGATAGAGATGGAGAGGACACATAAAGGGTTTCCATTCATGCTGAGAAAATGCAAGACCACACTCTCACTGCCTTTCCTGGTCTTTGCACGTCTCTTTTCAAAATTTCAGCTAGTAATAGAAGCAAAAATACTTCCTTTAAATTACCCAAATTCCTGTTTTGTATAAAAATGAACTCCTAAAAGCTCAGCCCTCTCTTTAAGGTATCTGGATTAAATGTTCACTGGTATCAAGGACACTTATTCCATGCAAAGAAGTAGAATGTTGATCAAGCATGACACTCTGGGACAAAGGCACACAAAACACATGGTAAAATAATAGAATATTGGCTTGAAAACTCTATGGGCCCTTGGAGCATTTAGCTAGCTCCCAAGGCCAAGGGTGAATTGCTAAAATGATTCATTTGATAACTCCCCTAAGTTATTCCCCAAATTATTATTTTCATTTCTACAGAAAAGATATTTTTCCAAGATTGGGAATAATTCCAATTTTGTGAATTATTCTGCCTTCTTTTTCATGCTACTCACAGAAAGACTGGCTCACTGACAAATGAACAAAAGAGCCCAAAAACCTCAAATCCAGAATTCATCAATATGTGGATCAAATTACTTGCACTTCTTAAGTTTTTAAAAACTATCTGGCACTTCTATTCATCATTATTGTTATATTGTTCAGCTTTTCAAGAGCAGATTTCTAGATTTATTTCAAGAGCAGATTTCTAGATTTATAAGTATAAACCAAGTTTTAAAAGGAAGATAGCTAGAAAGTTTGAACCAGGCTGCAATCTAATTTGCATGTCACATTAGTAACTTTCATAGTGTCAGGTTTGTGAAAATAACATGGCTCAGTATGGTACAGTTCAGATTCATTATAATAATTCCACTCATATATTTATATTAAGGAAATAATTGCAGCAAATCAAAACCAAAAACAAAACAAAAAAACTTATAGTTTTTATTATATTACTGACCACGATAGCTAACAAAATAGAAATTACCTAAATGCCCAAAATAGGAATAGTTTAGCAATAAACTGTGCTACTTCAGTAGAATAAAATGTAATGTATTAGGAATGTTTTCTCTAATATCTGGATGTTAATTCACAATAAGGCGGGGGTTAGGGACACTAGAGAAGAATAGTGTTACCTTAGATTAGGTAGAAGGAAATGAAGGAAGGGAATGTGGGGATAGGAAAGATAATAGAACGAAACAGACATTGGCACTCATTACTTTATGTATATATGGGACTGCATCACCAATATGATTCTACAATAGATACACTAAGAACAATAAGAAGTTATATCCCCAAAAAAAAAGAAGTTATATCCCATCTATGTATGATATATCAAAGTGCATAAGTGCATTCTGCTGTCATGTATAACTAATTAAAACAAATAAAAAAAGTGAAATTAGGAAAATTCAGAAACATGGAAAATCAGAATATAAAATAGTATAGACATTATGATAACCCTTTATTATTTATACAAGTAAAGGGAACACACAAACATAAAAATAATTGCTGAAGGGTAGTGGGTTTGTAGATATTTTTTAAATTAATTATATTCTTAATTGTATCATAACAACAAATGTAAAGTTTTGTTTTATTGCCAAAAGAAATCTATGCATCAATTTATTTGCCATAAACATAATCTTTTCCATAAATAAAATTTCATTTAGAATTCTATTTTATTCTGCATCTGGTGAAAACCAGATCTAATTTTATAGACAGTAATGAGCCATATTTTCCTATATATTATAGAGTACTATTATTTGGAATTCAGTACCTCTGTAAGCTACAGTCTTCTGTAGGATTGGCTGGTCTTTAACAAATTACATCCAAGGAATATAAATGGGTCTATAAGACCAGTGCTTCAACATCAGGTCAACTAATAAGCCACTGACATGTTGGATAAACCCAGTTCACCCTGAAGCCTGAAAATAGTTATGTTTGTATCTCTTATTTAAAAATAAAAATTTGAATAGGAATAAAAGCAAACTACTACAGGAACACATAAAGATTATAATGTATGAAGCCATGCATGTGGTACATGCTATAATTTGAGGCTGAGGCAGGAGGATTACAAATTTGAGGCTAGCCTCAGCAACTTAGTGAGACCCTGTCTCAAAATAAATAAAAAGGGGTGGCAGGGGGATAGGGATATGACTCAGTTGTTAAATGCCTCTGGGTTCAATTTATAGCACCAAAAGAAAAAGATTACAAGATACAAAAAGTATAAAGCTGTAAATCATGTTCACTTAATTATCATGTGAACAATAAATTGATTTAATGAAGAATGGAGAAAATAAATGTATTGCACAGATGGTGAGGGTGTACAGAGAAGGAGATGGAAAAAATAGAGTAAGAACATTAAATCTTCATCCCTCATGGTGAGAAATCAAAATAAAAGTGATACGAGTCAATATCATTTCTTCTCCATTCCTAAATCAATCACGAGAATACTGAAAAAATACAAGCAGAGCATCATCAGATTATGTCAGAGAGATGTCTACATAAAATAACTTCTTTTGTACAGAAGTTTCATCATGGTCTTTGGGATTAGATATTAGATTTGAATCCTATCTCCAACAATTATTAGCTGTGGTGCCTCTGATAAAGTTACTTCTCTTTGCTAATCCTGTATTCCCTCTCTTACCCATGAAAACACCTGGAAAGGTTTACATGAGATAATATAAATAATATTCTAATGTACACCAGGTACTAGATAAATGCTTAGTAAAGTAGGTTTCTCGCAGGGATATTCTCTATTCCACCATCAAACCATACCATTTGGCCTTTGGAAATGGCAAAAGCTCAACCCTTCTCCATCATCTAGACACAGTCGATCAGCTGTTTACACCCATGGTAAAAACCATCATATCAGAATTGAAAGTCCTTCTCTAAGGTATTGGCTTCTTCTCAATCTAAATAAAGTAGAGCAATTTGAGGAGGAGGCAGAAAACCATATAAACTTCCCTTCTTCGTGAAAAAGATCTCCGTGGTAATCTCCCAGGAATTCCCATGCAACCTCCCAGCCCAATGGCATTCCCCTAGACCTCAGAGAGAACTATTAAAGCTGCAATGTACATGAAACAAAGAGCATCTCTCTCCAGAAAGCACTGACCTTCAACCCTGGCAGACCTCGTCTTCCTCGTGACCCCTAAGAAAAGAAGGAAAGCAGAGACCTCAGAGAAAGAAATAAACCATTTCTCACCCAGACATACCTTCCTCTTCCACAAAGGCAGGAGAAATATACTACACCTACCTGAGGACCAACACTTCCAGTTTTCCCCTGAGGTCCATTGAAACTGGACAGACCCTAAAAAGTAAAAGATAAAGGGAAGATCAGTTTAAATGCCACACACTTCTGGTTTTCTTCTCTATATCTGTACCATCCAATACAGAAGCCACTAGCTGTAGGCAGCTATTCAAATGAAGTGAACAAAAATGAAATTTTAAAAAATTTAGCTTCTCATTCAACACTGGCCACACTCCAAGTGCTCAGTAATTTCATGTAGCCAGGCTACCATATTGGATCACACAGATAGAGAATATTTCCATGATCTCAGAAAGTTCCATTGACCATCACTCCTCAAGAAGCCAATGACATTAAGTTCTCATGTTTCAAACATCAATGTTGTGGACAAATTCCCCACAGATTAGTAGTCTTTCCCCACAGACTCTTCCTTTAATGACTCCTCATGGTTCACCATGCTGGACAGTCATACACATTCTTCAACATGCTTAGTATAGGAAAATACTGGCCCATCCCTTTCTACCCATGTCTTATCGGGCATGTCTTGAGTGGTAGATAGAAGCAGAAGGTAGAAGGGTATGTCTCTGCACATGGAGAGATCAGTGTATAGGCGATGAAAGAAAGCAAGGTTTCACAATCACGATGAGGAAACCTCTGTGGAGTAGAAGTGGGGAATGAGTAGTATCCAGAAGGAATGATCCCTCTTTCAGGAGAAATGGAAACCCCATGGGATCCCAAGAAGGGATATTTCAGATAATTATTCAGTGAGGCTACATGCTAAGTCAAGTGGAATACATAAGTGGGGAAAGAATATGAAATACAGAAATAAAAAATGTCTTGTGAAAATTCGTTCATTCCAACTGTCATTTATAGCACATTAATTCTGAGATAATTTAAATATTCCCCAATATGAGGGAAATGCTAATCAAGTCATGACAGAAACACTTTTCACCTGAAGTTTATAAAGAATATATATATATATACACACACACACACACACACAATATAAACACAAAGGAAAAAGGGGGAAATTCAATATGGAGGCTGCCTCTGATAAGAACCAGAGGGTATATCTGAATAGACCAGTTATATAGGTCAAATTTTACTTAAACTCAGTGATGGGTTAATAAAAGCTTGTGTTTATGATAGTATTCACTACATCTTTTCCAGGGTCTTGGATATTTCATGATATATTTTTTAAGATTTAAAAAAGTATTGATTTTAGTTTAAGATGACGTGCTGATATGCACATTACAAGGGTTTCCAAAAGTTCAGATTGTAGCATCGTGAAGAGAAAAACATCTGAATGATTAACCACAGTGCTCACTTGTCTACTCAGCCATATTATGGGCTTTGGGTTGCAGGATTTATCTGTATAGCTCTTCTATTCAGAGTTGCATTTCTAAGACAGCTGACTTCTTGTCGTTGTACATGTTAGAATTCTAATGTTTATCTTGAAATACTGTTTGTCGAAAAAAATTAAATATGTCATGATAAAAAATGCACAAGGCATGCAAATGAAAAAGCACAAAATTAAAAAGCAAATCTTCCTTCTCCCAAGGCAGCCTGAGAAAAGAATGCTTCTCATAAAATTCAAAAAAAAAAAAATTCTGTACTTACAAGCAGACATAAATATATTGTTTTGTAAACTCAAGCAGGAGCATACTATAAACACTGTCATACATTTTTATATTTTACTCAGTTTTTTTTCTTGAAGATTTTTAAAGATCAGCAGAAATAGGTGTATCTGACTTTTTTTAAAAAGTGTATAAAGTAAAAAAAAAGTATATAAAGTAGAAAGTTTGTGCTATGATGTTGTTCTTCTAAAATTTGCAAAATTATGTGGGAGAATAATTTGTCCCAAATATGGAAAAAGAAAAAAATGACAAGTCCCCATTTTTAAAAATATTACACTAGGGGCTGGGGATGTGGCTCAAGCGGTAGTGTGCTTGCCTGGCATGTGTGCAGCCCGGGTTCGATCCTCAGCACCACATACAAACAAAGATGTTGTGTCCGCCGAAAACTAAAAAATAAATATTAAAAAATTCTCTCTCTCTCCCTCTCTCTCTCTCTTTAAAAAAAAAAATATTACACTAGAAAATTTTGTAACAAGCCCATGGGACACTTTTCTGACTTTCTCTAGAAGAGAGATTGCCATCATATGTTAGGAAAGTTCAATAAAATAATGGTTTCCTTGGCTACTGGAACTATGGATCATTTTTCCTCTACATTTTACTTTATATTCCCAAATTTCTGTAGTAAATGTTACTTTTATGGGCTTTTTTTTCCAAAGTAGGAAGTAGATGAGAGGCGGCTATAAATAAAGCCTTCTCACAATAGATCTGGATGTAATAAAGATTCTTTCTTAAAAGATTAATCATTTTCTCACTTCAGCAGTAAATAGCATTTTGCAGCCAACATAGTAAAAGAATTATCTGGGCAGATGCTGGAGCCATTGGGTAAAAGATTGTTGGGAAATAGGAAATTTATAGTCTCAGAGTATCATTCCCATTCGAAGAAAGGAAAAGCATGCTTGCCATGGAGAAATCTGGCGAACATAATCCAATGTTCGAACTTAATGTCACCAATATGACCCAAATCAACACTGTATCCCTGCCCATCATTAATAAATGTACAGCACCACTAAGTCTCTGCTAAAAATGCTTAGCCTGACTGTAGTTATGGAGAAACCATCAGATGAATCCTAACTGAGGTAAATTTAGCCAAATAACTAGTCTGGAATGTCAATGTCACAAATAACTGGGCCACTGATGTGATTGAAAGATACCAAAGAGGAAAGACACCTGAAACAACTGCTTAATCCTCAGCTACACGCTGGAACAACAACAAAAAAAAAAAAAAAAACAGGCATAAAGAACATCGTTGAGTGTTATGGATCGAGTATTTATGTCTCTTCTCAAAAAAACTCATTCTGAAATCTTGACCCCCAAAGTGAAGACAGTAGGAAAGGAATGCCAGTCAGTCATAAGGGTGGAGCCCTCCTGAACAAGATTAGTGCCCTTACAAAAGAGGCCTGAAGGAGCACCCTGTCTTTCCTCTATGTGAGACCATAGTCAAAATACTTATTTAAGAATCAGGAAATGGGCCTTCACCAGATGCCAAATCTTCAGTGCTTTGGTCTTAGAATTTCCAACCTCCAGAACTGTGAAAAATGCATGCTATTTGGGGTACCCAGTCTATTGCATTCTGTTATAGTGACCCAAACTAAGACATAGGACAAGTGTAGAAATTTGATTACAGACTGTGTATTAGAAAATAATGTTGTACAAATATTGTTTCTCGAGTGTGATAATTATATTGTACTAATATAGAATGATGACCTTTTTTCTAAGAATACACTTGAGCATATAGATATACACATACATGCATTTGTATAAAGAGATATAAAGCAAATATAGTAATAATGGGGTTCATTCTTGCAACTAAAATTTATTTTTCATAGATTTGAAATTTTTCAAAATTAGAAGTTAGGGTAAAAAGAAATGCATAATTTCTAATGATATGGAAGTTTTCTACAAATTTGAACTCACATTGAATAGTGTTTTATAAATCTACCATTTTTATTTAATGTTGCAACATGGTGTTTTCCATGTCAAGAAATAGTCTTCTATATTATTTTTCACTGCCTAGAAATATTCCATTGTGCAGAAGCACCAGGATGCATATAAGCTATTATTAGACATTTGAGTATTTTCAATTTTTTACTATTTTAAAAATCACCACAGTGATCACCCTTGCTGCTAAATCTGTGTTGGTCCATGATTAGCTTCTGGGTAAAGTGCTAGGCCTAGAAAGACTAGAAATTAAGCTATGGCAGACACAGTGGTGGCCTACACAATAGTTTCTCCCTTTTCCTCCTTAATATGAAAATCTGTTGTGTTTAGAACAACAATATACTCAACTCCAGGGCTGTAGATACAGTTCAGTAGTAAAGCACTTACCTACCATGCTTGAGGCCCTGAGTTCAATCCCCAGGACAAAAAAAAACCTCCAATGGGTGAATGAGAATAGATCTAAGCCAATCATGGTGATCACATTTCCTTTATTCAGAGATTTGCTTTCTCTGGATCCCGTGAAATTGGGCAGTTATGCTCAATTTTCTAATGAGCTTAGAAAACAATATTGTTGAAAACACCCAGATGAAAGGAAAGTCCCTTTCCTCCTGGCATTTTATATAAAAGTAAAGACAAAATGCTCAAAGCTGCCAGGCCTACAGACATATGCTGTCATACTGAGGAGGGAGCGTGGAAAGAAAGGGACTGTGTCTCTGACAAATCACTGAGTCTCAATGGTATCATAGAGATGGTGTGTCAAATCTGAAATCACCTAAACTTGGGTTTCAAACATATTACTACTTAACACTACTAGACAAATTTTCTAAGAGTCATATATATAATAAGTAAATACATATATGTATTATATATGTATATATATAATATGTATTATACATATATATGTATATGTATATTTTTTTAAACAGCAATGCTAACTGATTTATTTGCCTATTGCCTTTCCAAAGGTTAAGCTCGTTTTCATTCTCCCCAGAAGTGTTTATTTCAACACTCCTGACTGACATGACTGATTCCCTGATACTAAATATATAATAAAGTTTCTCCTTGTTGGAATGACTGCTTTACCCATCCAAATTGTAACATTGAATCTGTTCTTAGGTTCATCTCAGAAATAATTCCAAGGGAAGACTGCCCCCTAGAGGTCCATCTCCTGATAGTACTGAGGCTAGAATGTCAGTATCCACAGCTGCAGGCTTATGTAACTGGTGAGAGTTACTTCTGTTATCCAAGTCTATTCAAAGGAGTTAGTTAGCACCCTTCTTTGAGCACAGCATGGGAGCAGAAGCCATGAGATACAAACTCAATATGGCATTGCCTCAGAGGATTACAATTTCCATGTACACACACAATTCAGGGCTGATGTTCAAAGTTAACCCTTGGCTAAAATCAGGGAGGGAGGCATCTGAAAGCTGTGAGCATGTGTAGCGATAGTACTGTGGCAGGCAGAGCACTGGACAGTTTGTCTATAGGCCTGGGTTTCTCCCCAGCAGTAAACCTTGAGCCAACCATAGAACAAGTTCATCTTATCTCAGATCACAATCTTTCTTCCCATGACAACCTCTAACTCATGGAAATCAATCTCCATTCTTCCCATCTTACAGATGGGCACCAGATGGGTTGCTTCCCTACTGTCTCCTTAGCCCAATCCTGTCGATAATTGAGTGTCCCTTCACAGAGCTCTCTGGTCACAACACCAAAGGGAACATTCTCAATAGGATCTGTTCAAAACAACTGTAATTAATGACAGGATGAAATATTCTTATAGTCAACTCCCAGTGGTTTTCTCACATAGCTACATAATAATGACCTTGTTACAAACTGAATTTAACTTAGGATCTGGACATATATAACATGGATGCTATCTAGCCACAATCTAGGAAGGAGAGTCAATGTCCTACAGTTTTGTTAAAGGATGCAGAACTGGGATTGGAAGAAAATAGAGGTTCCTAGGCTCTTTTCTAGTTGCAAATATTGTGCTATGCAGACCTCATTCCTGGAAATTAGGAATGGTGAAATGTGAGGACTGAAGCACTTGGATTTATTTTAGTCATTCTTCAGAATCATGCATTTTAATGTCTGGGACATAAAAATCTAAAATTGGCTTCCAAGAAATTAGCATCTGTCAAGTTAACAAGTCTTTTTTCTTCTGTGATGTCTTCTATCATAGTGCTTCTAGTCTTTAGAGCTAGACAAAGATCTCCTCTTTTAAAAAATGGCTAGTACCCAATACACATCAATCAGCTCTGACTACAAAGAAAAGCAAGCCGGTGACATGATAATTGCAAGCATCTTTTAAATTTTATAATTGGAAAATTTTTTTAAGTGGAAGAATCCTAGGCATCCTTGAGTCAGATGCTTTCATTTGCTAATGAGGAAACCAAGAACAAAAGAGGTAAAATAACTTGTAAAGTATTACTAATGTTGTGGGAGATAGTTGTTTTTTTTTTTCCCCCTGTACAAATTCTAAGACAAGAACACAAGGACAAGATGTAAGCAGAGATAACCAGTCAGGACTCCTGTGTCCATGGATGATGGAATCCCACAGGTTTGTTCCCTGGCTTGCTAAGCAGAGTGCCCAAATTTCTACACCAGAAGCATTTGTTCCCATGCATACCAGTCCCCCCAATTAAACAGAGGTCATCTTACCTGATGCCCACGCCTTCCTTTTTCCCCCTTAGGTCCTTGAATGTGACTATCCGTTCCAGGATCCCCCTGAGAAAATAAAATGTCGCTTATTCAAATGGACAACAACCAAATTAAAAAAAGAAAAAAAATATTATAGGAAAAGTTCCTTAAAAAGAAAACAACAACAAACACACACACACACACAACCAAAGTGGACCCTTTTTATTGTCCAGACCCATCCAGTAATCCCAGATACCTGATACAATTAAAATTCCAACCTATTTATGAACCCAAATGTTCTGTGACACGGGTTTTACTCTCAAATCTCTCGTTTGTTGCAGTGCAGTAAAGACAGACTGAACAGATGCCTCATTAATGAATAAAAAATGGCTCTCACCTTGTGCCACAAGCAAACATTTCTCAAATCCCTGGAATTAAAGCAGAAGAAATCCCCCAATCTTTACTCACAGGATCTCCTCTTAACCCAGGCTCTCCACGCTCTCCAGGTTGTCCTGGTGGTCCTGTCAAGCCCTTAAATCACAAAGAAAAAGAAAAATGTGTCACTTTTCAAAATCTCTTGTTGCCTAAAAGGAAAGGAACTCTAAGAGGAAAAAGAAAAAATCAGGCTCAAAGAGCAACTTGGTACTTGAACTTGAAAGCATTCACTGTGGAAAAGGCAAGGTCAAGCAGTAGGAAAGATGTTTTGTTGGAACCCTTCCATATGATCAGCCTTAGGTGTGCTTCACCTCACTTCTTAGGAATTAACCCACTTGCATATGAGGGACTTGAGGCTCTGGGAAGCTGGACTCATAACTCCCTAATATCAAATTTCTTGATTTTTTTCACTAATTCCTGATTCTCTCTGCAGAAACACACATAAAAAAGGGGGAAGGGGGAGTTTTCTCCATCATGGATGCAGGCAGGATTAATGGAGTAAGACCTCATGGGGAAAAAAATAAATAAAAGGAGAAAGAGAATGATGTTTTCAGAGTGGGCATGCAAAAGGAACATTCGGGGGGGCAGGAGTAATACAATCTGACTTAATTGGGATTAATGAAGAGAGTGGTTGAACAGCCTTGGATGTAAGACTAAATCATCAGTGACAGGGAGCCATGAAAAACTTGTGAGCTAGACAGTGACACAATTATGTCTCTAAAGCACAAAAAGTGAAGTCCCTGGATTTAGATTCTCCACTTCGCTATCTCCATTTCACTATCAGGTCCTAAGTAAACATTCCAAACAGTCATCTAACATTCATTGTCCTTTAACTCTCAATCTAGTCTCTAAACCACTAAATGATTCTTTCCCACAGCTTAAAAATAAATTGTTGATATCAGTTTACCCAGTAGAAATGAGAACAGAATGCCTTCATATTTTACCCAATTTCCCCTATTTCCTTTTTCTCCAGATGATCCTGCGACTCCACGATCACCCTAGGAAAAGAAAAAGAAATATATAAAGAATCTTGGGCTGGGGATGTGGCTCAAGCGGTAGCCTGCTCGCCTGGCATGCACGGGGCGCTGGGTTCGATCCTCAGCACCACATAAAAATAAAATAAAGATGTTGCGTCCACCGAAAACTAAAATACTAAAAAAAAAAAAAAAAAGAATCTGTATTCTATTAGTCATTCCAGAAAATTCTTTCGGGTAGTTTCACATTTTTAACCAAGAACAGGAAATCACTTTATCACAACAGAGTGACAGACTAGATCCTTTGAACAACCTTTCCCCAAAAAACAACCGTAAATTCCAGATAAATTAAAATATATTTTAGATACATTAATAAGACAATAAAGAAAAAAGAGAAATCCTTTGTTCAGAATAAAGACAAAGCAGGATCCAGAGAGAGAAGAGCTCTTGGTTAAGAACTTATTGTGATATGTGTGTGTGTGTGTGTGTGTGTGTTTTCAAGAGAAAAAGAGATAGAGAGGAGAAAGACCTCAGGCTGACAATTTATGTTACTGGTCCCGGGAACTAGTGCCACTAGGAATGTGGATGAAGCAAACAACATCAACTCAGGTTTTAATGACTTCTTAAAGATAAAGTTCCATTAAAAACTGTTAATTTTTTAACTGATGGAACTTTATCTTTAAGAAGTCATTAAAACCTGAGTTGATGTTGTTTGACTTTTGTTAATCAAAAGTCACAACACACAGGAGGGACACACCATGTCGGAGAAGCCAGCAGAAACAACACATAATAGAATCAGACCCACATTGACTACAGATATTGGAATTATCATATACAGAATATAAAATAAGTATATTCAAACTTCTAATTAGACTGTTAGGTCGGTGGCGGCGACTTGGTGGCGACTTAGTGGCAACTTAGAACAAAGCAGCCCGCGCCGAAAAAGAACATCAATCAGATGCCGGCGGAAACGCCTGTCAATCACCCAGATCTCCTGACTGATGCCTGTCAATCAACAGGACCCCCCTGGCCAATCCTGGAGTTCAGCCAACACCCCTGACCAACTTCAAGGGGGCAAGGGACCCTAGAAATACCTTTTCCTGTCCCAAGCCCTTCCCTTCCTGCTGTAAGCCCCATAAAAGTCCAGACCGGTCGAGCTTCCACACAGTTTCTCCTCAGACCCTTCTCCTGTCCCCTCTGTGGGTCTGATAGAGTTCCGCCCGGGAGTGATATCTCAATAAAGCCTGTTCAGCGGCCCTTTTAAATCTGCCTCCTTTGGCCATTGCCTGCCCCGACTGATCTGACATAGACTTCTATAAAAAAGATAATAGAGAAAATAGGTGCTCTACTTTGGATGTTGAATGTCCCCTGAAAGACCCACATGTTTAGGTTTGGTGCCAGAGTGGCAGTGTTGTGAAAAGCTATGGACATTTAAGAGGTGGAGCCTAGTGGGAGGCCTCTAGGTCACTGAAGGAAATTGTGGGATCCTGGATCCTTCCTCTTCCTCTTTTCCTTTTGCTTCCTGGCCATGCTCCACCACATGCTCCCCACTATTACTTTCCAGCACCCCTACCAGGGGTCTAAAATTAAGGGGTCCACCCAATCATAGACTGAATCTCTAGAGCCATAAGCCAAAATTAACCTTTTATCTTTATAAATTAATTATCTCAGATATTTTTATAATGATGAAAAGTTGGTTAACACAATAGGAAAGATAAAGATTTCCATATGATGATCTTCTAAGGATTTTCTAAGACATAAATACTCAGAATCAACAGCCGAACAAGTCCCAAGCAGAATAAATAAAAGGAAATCCACACCTAGACACATCATACTGAAACTGTCAAAAAGGAAAAACAAAGTGAAATTTTTAAAGCAGCCTGATACATATTTTCATACTCTGCTTACAAAGGAATAATTACTTTGAAATATAACTTCTTAACAGCAATAATGGAAGATACAAGGCATTAAAAGCCAGGAGTCTAGAAAGTTATATTTTCAAAGAGCTGAAAGAAGATAACTATGAACACTGAATTATTTACCCAATGAGCTATCTTTCAAGAAAAAGAGTAAAATAAAAAGATTTCCAGGAAAATAAAAGCCAAGGGAGTTTACAATGAATCACCCTTCATTAAAGGAAATTCTAGGAGTTCTACCTTAGGCAAAAGAATCATGGTGTTTTCATGTTCTTTTGAAGGCATCAACATACTGACAGAAAGGCTTTGATGAAACTAGCAAATATCAGGATAAAGCTAGATAAGCACTGGCTATATAGAATAATAATAATAACAATGTCTAGTCGACAGGATCTAACAAAAATAAGATGTGATGATCTTCTAAGGATTTTCTAAGACATAAATACTCAGAAAAAAAATACCAAAGAAATAAAATACCAAATAATTTGAGAAATAAAATGTCAAATAATTAATATGTGATATCAGAGGAGGGTAAAGTTAGGTTTTTGGATCCTTGTATGTCGGAGATAAGAATAAATAACATGTGAACTTAATCACTGTTGAGTATACATATCAAAATCTCTAGACAATCAGGAAAAGCTATACTCACTATAAGAGTATAAATGCCAGACTAGTCAAGGGGAAAACATAATGAAATACTTCCATACCTGTTCTCCATCCAAGCCATCAACACCTTCCTCACCAGCGTCGCCCTGTGGAGCAAAGGAAGATCAGAGTTAGACACAAGAGAAATAGGGGTACGTGGATATTTCTTTGATGTTAACTTCCTTAATAACTTATTTTCCAGTTGATAGAAGAATCTAGACCTTCTGAAACAACAGCTACATAGAGCATTCAATTATTAAAAGGTGATTATGGGCTAGGGTTGTGGCTCAGTGGTAGAGCACTTGCCTCACCTGTGTGAGGCACAGGGTTCAATTCTCAGCACCACATATAAATAAATGAATAAAATAAAGGTCCATCAACAACTAAAAAAAAAAAATAGTCAGCAAGGCTTGAACACAATAATATATGTCATTGCCTCAAAACTGAAATACGTGTCTTACAAACAGTCAATAGTCACTTATTAGCATGGCGTTTCAGATATTAATAAGATCTGGCCCACTCCTTTGCCTAAAATTTAAAAGCCTCACTCCATCAAGCAAAGGAAAAGGGCTTGGAATCAGTATTGTGTTTCCCAAAGAGACTGCTATCCAGTTTTAGAAGAGTAGAGACGGTTACCTACCTTCTCACCTGAAAATCCTCTTGCTCCCTAAAATTAAGAAGAAATAAGAATAATTGAGCTGAAGAAATAAGAATAAATTTCCTTTGGAGATACGTGTGTGTTTGTGTGTGTGTGTGTGTGTGTCTGTCTGTCTGTCTGTCTGTCTCCAAAGGAAATTAAATCAGCATGCCAAAGAAATACCTGCATGCCCGTGTTTATTGCAGCATTATTCAAATAGCTAAGATATGGAATCAACCTAGGTGCCCATCAATTGATAAAGAAAATGTGGTGAATATATACAATGCAATATTATTCAGCCATAAAGAAGAAAGAAATCCTGTCATTTGCAGCAAAGTGAATGGAACGGGAGGGCATTAAGTAAAATAAGCCAGACACAGAAAGGCAAGTACCATATGTTTTCTCTTATATGTGGATGTTTAAAAAAAAAAATTGACCTGAATGTAGAATAGTGATTACTAGAGGTTGGGAAGGCTGCAGGGCTGGGGAAATGGAAAATGGGGAAGGCTGGATTTGATTAGTGCACAGAGTATGTACATATGGAAAAATCACACTGAACCCCACTAACAGATACATTTAATACATGTTAATCAAAAATAAAATAGGGCCGAGGACATAACTCAGGTCAATCCCCTGTACTGCAAAATAAAATAAAAAGAATTTGACTTGGGTGAGGATATAGCTTAGTTGGTAGAAGAATTTGGCTTGAATGAGATTTTTGAAATTTTGTTTCATTTAGGAAGCCATGTTGCCTGATTTGAAGAAAATATATGTATTAGATCAAAATGAAGATTAGATCAAAATGACAAGGCTTTCCTTGTCCAGCAAATGTGATGGGTTTCACAGTTCTCTGATTACTACAACCCTCCTTTTCCTGTGACCTGGAGAAAACCACCTTGCTACTCCTCACAGAGTAGGCAAAATAGCAGCACCCTGCCACTTATTTTTGTAAAGATTTTTTTTTTTCAAATGAAAGTGAGAATACACTGGTTAGCAAGAGTGGGAAGACTTCAAGGAACAACAGGGCAAAGTAAGTGGAAAGGTAACTTGTTAGAATATACAGGACATGGTCATTGTGATCAAGAAAACCCTAAGACTTTTATATTGAATACATTCTACTGTCGTGTATAAGCAAAAAAGAACAAATAAAATTTTTCAAAAGACTTTACGTTGTATGAATTTTTTTTTCTTACCTTATCAAAAGAGATTCTCCAATAATAAAAGGTTGAGGCACCTGGAATGCAATCACTCAAAAAGGTGCCCCACCTGTATCCCCTTAGCCTTTAAAATCTCAGTATTCTTGAACCTACCTTCCAATTACAAGCACTCTCTCGGCTCTTTTGCTGAGGTTTTTTCCTGGGACTTAAAACCTGCTTTGCCTACATGCATGACAGGCCAAAGAGCTGGGGGAATTAAGGCCTCCTAGCATCAGCCCTCGATAATGCCTGATAGGATGTGGTATACAAACACCCAGCAACTTCACCCTTCAAATGGGAAAACATCAAGGTGCATGTTCAACACTGGCTGCCAGAGTCCCTAGGGAGGAGTGATCTGCATCTGCCCACAGCAGTGATCTGCTAATGCATCGTTTGGGGTCACATTTCCTCCATATCTTATTTACTTCCTTACTCCTCTGCTACTGTTTGCTAGGATCATCTCCCAGTAAGCTGTGTGCAGTTGATTCCTTTTCTGAGGCTTTACTTCTGGGAAGCCTTCAGTCTAAAGAGAAGCTAAGCCTCCATAATTATACTGAAGAATGAAGATTTTTCTTGAACTCAAGGGTTGAAACAAAGAAAGGGAAAGAATCCCACAGCTTGAGGTCACACTCACCTTAGGTCCCCTCACACCCATGCATCCTTCCTCACCTCGAGGTCCAGGAAGACCCGGGGGGCCTCTTTCTCCCTGTGAAGACAGATACAAGTGGAGACCATCAAGAAACTGCCTCTGTGACCACGAGCCAGTTCAAACCACAGTGTCCTTAACAATCTGACTGCCTTGCAGGCAATCTGATCAGGTCTCTGAAGCACTTATGACAATGCTCCAGATAACACGGATTCTAATTCAACTTAGCACTTATGACAGTGAGGGTTTTGTGGGGGTTTTTGTTGTTGTTGCTGTTATTGTTGTTGTTTGTTTGTCTTTTATGTATTAGAATCTCCTGCCATGTTGTGAGCTTCACAATGTCTCATTTATTTATCGCTCAGTTCCCTGCCCCAAACCTCTTGCCTGACATACAGCAGACATCAATCAGAATTTGGAGAATGACTCATTGAATTATATTAGCGAATAGAAGCTTTTCATCTAAGCATTGAATAAGGAAGGGAATCATGCCTTTTGCCAAAATGATTAAATATGAATTAGAAAGTCTCACACAACCCATGAGCTTCAATCAAAAGAAAATCTACATTTGTAACATCTAATTTAGACTTAATAAGGTCAGAAAATACAGAAGCTGCTTGGCACTATAAATAGGCACATGATAAAGTGAGAAGCACTCTGGATCCTTTTATTAAGAACCTGAATTCAGGTCTGAGTTCTGCTTCCAACTTGTTTGGTGATCTTGGACTATTACATGATTCCACGAATCACAATTGTCCCCATTTATGAATGTGGATCCAGAAAACACTGATTCTAATGATCTCACAGGATTGCTACATTGACTACAGGAGATACCATATAGGAAATACTTCACAAACCATGTGACTGGACAACTGAGGTGCTCTATATTTAACGGTAGCAGGCAGGCAGGGTGGCCTGTAATCCCAGCTGCTTGGGAGGCTGAGGCAGGAGGATCACAAGTTCAAAGCCAGCCTCAGCAATTTAGCAAGGACCTAAGCAACTCGGCGAGAGGGCTGGGAATGTGGCTCAGTGGTTAAGCACCCCTAGGTTCAATCCCTGGTGCCAAAAAATAATAGTAATAATAATTAAAAATAAAAATAAAGGTAGCAAGAGATAATTTAAAAACACAGGTACTGGCATCAAACAGGTTTGGACACATCTACAACATTCTTATTTTTAATATTTATTTTTTAAAAGTAGCTGGACACAATACCTTTATATATATATATTTTTTTATGTGATGCTGAGGATCGAACCAGGGCCTCGCATATGCTAGACGAGCGCTCTACCACTAAGCCACAATCCCAGCCCCTACAACATTCTTTATATGATCTTTAGCAGGTCACTCTCTGCACATTCCTACCACCCCATCTATAAAATGAAACTATTCATATATACATGAGGGTTGTGACAAATATCAAATGTAATAACATACACAAAATGCCTAAAGCAAGGCTTGATACTAAATACTGTCTGTTCTCTTCCCTTCTCCCTAGTCTACCTGCATTTCTAAGTTAAGTGGATGGTGTTTAAGTTTCATCTGGAGAAGTTAATCTTAATGTTTCTACCATACTAAGCCACTCACTCAACATTGATACATTTTTTTAATTTATAGAATTCATGAGTCTGGCACATTGTATTTTCCAAAGCTGGACATCAGTATCTCCCATCCCACACTCTGTGACCTGCCACTCCTCCATCTAAGAGGAGTCTGATTCCCTCCGCTTGAATGTGGTCTGGCCTCAGTGATTGGCTTCCAACCAGCAGAATGAGAGAGACATTGTGAGGCTACTTTCTGAGACTCTGTCAGCAGCCTCGTGGTTTCACACAGGGGGACCTTCCCTGTAGGGATGCTCCCTCTCACACCCAGCAGCCCTGAGGTTCATGCTCAGCCTGTCCTTCCACCATCCCAGCAAAGGGTCCGGACAAGTGATAGAAGATGCCACCTTGGCATTGGGTCCTCTGGTCCCAGCTTCTACAGCCCAAGAAGTTCTTTCTTATCAACTCATCTGAAACCCCAGATATAGAGAAAAGAGCCATCCTACTTCTGTTCCCTTTTTGGCTTCCCCACCCACAGATTCCATGAACATAATAAAATGATTACTTTATGCCACAAAGTTGGAAGGGGTTTCAGGAGAAAGGAAATCAGTTAGTAAGAGGTAACCAGAACAACGAGCTATCTGCACTCATGAATCTTCAACTTGATCCTACAAATGGGATTTCAGAGCCCCCTTCTGAAACCATTCCATCTGCACAGACAGGTCTCTGCCTGCCACTGCTCAGGCCAGTGTGACCTGTTTGGGAGAAAAAGACAGTAAGAGCCATTCAGAGGAAAATGCCTGGCAACGTCACCTTTTCTTAAGAGAATGGCATTAAAAAGAAAATGAGACTGGCTAAAACTGCTCTGTCAGATACAGTAGCCACAGCCAGAGTGTCCACTGAGCTTTCAAAATGTGTCTAGTCTAAAGTGGGATGTGCTACAAGTGTACCGTACCAGATCTTGAAGACCAACTTATTTTAAGATATCTCATTGATTTTATATTAATTACATGTTAAAATGATATTTTAGATGTGTTGGGCTTAACAAAACGAATTATTAAAATCAACTCTACCTGTTTCCTTCTACTTTAAAGTGGCTACTATAAAATTTAAAATTATATATGTCCCTTGCATGTATCTTGGTTTTACAATGTTATAACAGCAGAGAAAGGGAACAAAAAATCATCTCCTCTGGACAGACAAGGCCTTATTAGTCCTGTTTTGTCTGAAATCGGAGTCACTGGCCCAGTGAGCTGGACAGATTTTAAGTAATTTCTTCCAACTTGAGTCAAGCTCACTGAATTACCAGCCCAGCAGAAAAAAATAAAGGAACACTTAAAGGATATTTTAAATCATCATAAAAATGAGAATGAATATTTTCACCACTTCAAAATGAAATAGCAAAAATATGACACCTTCCATTCCTGTCTGTATTTCTAACGTCTAAGGCTCTGCTTACTGAGGAAACAGAAAAGCTGAGTAATTATCCCATAAACATAGTTTAAGAAGAGGATCAGGGGCTGGGGCTGGGGCTCAGGGGTAGTTCAGAATGCCCAAACATTCAGAATAATAAAAACAATGTGCTAATCCATGTGGAGTAAGGAAATCGTGAGTGTACATGTCCCAAGGGCTCACAAAGTGTGCTGAGAATTCCTTCTGTCCCCAGAACCCACTTACCAGGGTCCAAAGTTTAAATTATTTTCTTAACAACACTAAAGTGTTATTTTCTTTTTTTTTTTTTTTACTCTTACTCCTCCCCAAGTGTATGGCAGGGTTTTTAAGAAGCCACACAGCAAGTGACATCACAGCAGACCAAATACAGAAACCAATATGCAAATCTAGCCTTCTTCTAATCACACCAAACGATGTCACCCTTCTCACTAATTTTTTTGTCAAACATGGTTATTTTTCACAAAGACAAGGCTTTGCCATTTTGAAATAAGATAATAAGTAAATAATTCAAGAGTTTTCTCAGCTTTAATTTCTATCAATAGATAGAAACCACAAGAACAAAAATTCTTCAAGATCCTCAATAATTTTTAAGTATGAGAATCAAGGCACAGGGACGTGCAGAGATGTTGGTCAGACAGAATAGACTTTCAGTCACAAGTAAGTTCTGAGGAGCTAATATACAGCATGGTGACTTTACACTTACCAAATTCCAAGAATTGTATATGGCATTTAAGTATTATATACTTGGAATTTGGTAAGAGGGTATATCCTAAATATTCTCACCATAGGAAACAAAGGTAACTATGTGAGGTGATGGATGTGTTAACTAACTTGATTCTGGTAATCCCTTCACGATACATAGTACATCAAATCATACCATTACACACTGACAACTGAGTTGTACAACTTCACTTGTCAATTATATTTCAATAAATCTGCATAGGAAATAAGTGCAAAGATATTTTGAAACCAAAAATGTGGGAACCATGGTATACATACAAAATTAAAATAGGCACCTGTGGCAAACTAGTTTTCCATTATTGAAAATTAAGTGAAAACCATGGGTTTTTTTAATGCTTACTCCTCCCCAAGTGTATGGCAGGGTTTCTAAGAAGCCACACAGCAAGTGACATCACAGCCTCATGGTATTTATATAATGGAATAAAAATCATCCCTACTACATTCCAGTCTCCTAGCTCAGAATTTTCCCTATAACATACTTTTTTTTTCCTCCACCAGTGATCACATGATAAATAACTTCACTTGTTTAAAATGTTCCCAGCGGTGTATCCAGGGTTACATGCCAACCATCAGTGATCAGCTGTAATTCCACCACCTTCTTGGCTACTCAGGAAGGCATCAGAATTGAGCTTGCCCTAAGAATGGGCTTGGGGACTGGGTTTGCAGCTCAATGGTAGAGCACTTGCCTTGCATATGTGAGGCCCTGGGTTGGATCCTCAGCAGCACATAAGAATAAATAAATAAAAATAAAGGTATTGTGTCCATTTACAACCTAAAAAAACTTTTTTTCAATCCTTAAAAAAAAAGAATGGGCTTGGATTTTCTTCGATTTATTTTGTTTAACCACTTACATATGTAGCTCAATAATAATAACAAATTATCTGCAATTTAGATCATTGATGAGCAATTGCTCTTATATGCATTTCGGACCACATTCTCAGATCAAATTCCCTGAACAAAAAACAAAATGGCCACCATTCATCATTAAACACCTTCCAGAGACTACATCTTTAAAAATTTGTAAGCATGACATTGGTTATAATAAATGGTAATTTTATTTAAAAAAAAGTGTGTCACATTAGATTGGATAGAGAGAAAGGATGGGAGAGGAGGGGAGGAGTAGGGAGGATAGGAAGGGCAGCAGAATAGAATAGATAATATGATTGATGTATGTACATTCCATGTATGTATTATATGTCAAAATGCATTCTACTGTCATGTATGACTAAAAAATAAATAAATAAAAATTTAAGAAAAATAAAATAAAATAAATAAATGGTAATTTTAGATATTTTAAACCCACTTAAATGACAGATGAGAAAAACTTCCATGACTTAAGTGCCAGCTAAGTATTGCTAATATTTGACCCATTTTGCCATATTCTTCGAAAGGAAAGAAATAAGATGCATGGTACATAAAAGGAGGCTGGATTTGATTAGTGCACATCATATGCATGTATTGAACTATCACACTGATCCCCATTAATATGTACAATTAAAACATGTTAATCAAAAATAAAATGAAATAAAAATAGACTAACCTATAAAAAAGAAAGAAAGAAAATTTAGTACTTACATATTCACCTTCTTTACCAGGATGGCCAGGAAACCCAGCAAAACCCTTCTCTCCCTGAAAAAAAAGATTAAAATAAGTAAATTGGACTCTTAAGTTCTTCATTTCTCAAATTTAGGTAAAATACAGTGATAAAGTGCTCCTGAGTTATAAACCCACAATAACAAAAAAAAAAAAATTTAGGTGAAATAAAAATCGTTAATAATAAATATCCTTGTATTACTGAGTTGACATTTTATTGAAAATCTACTAGATACTGGAAACCATATGCTAAGATATATAAAAATAAGTATTTTGGGCTTGTGTTCCAGGGAAAATGTGAATACCTGTTTGTTTTAATAGAAAATAAAACTATTAGTATTTTTCAAAAATGCTTTTTTAAGCCATTCTCTCTCATCTGAAAATTCAAAGGCCAATATCTAGTTAAAAGATTAAGGAAAACCATTATTGACCTTGTTTTAGAAAAGAGCAGTAAGTAAAAGGGTTACCAATCATCTGACTCATGAGAAAAGGTTGTTTATTTCTGAATGACTCAACTGTTTAGTCTTTTTTTTTTTTTTACTTCTTTTTACATACCTAAATACAAACTATATCCTCTCAAGGAAGTCTGGCTTACCTTTTATAGCTTAAAATGTTTATTTAGTCTAAAACTACAAACCTTATTTTTTTTTGAAACAGCTTTTTGTTAAACAACAAAGCAGAACTGCAACACACATTTTAAATATTTGTAAATTAGATCACAAAAGTGATGCAAAATGGTTGCAGTCTATTATATATTCATACAGCTAAAGTCATTCATCAAATCTTATACTAATCTCTAAAATCAGTCCGTGATTAAAAGCCATCCAAATCTAATAACCATAAGCTATATTAGTGGATCTCTTTTCCTATCATAAAATTTTATTATTATTTCTGATAATAAGTCCCTTATCAAGTGGAATCCTCAAACTAAATATTTTTAAATTGTTCAAGAATAACTAAAACTCTGCCAACCGAGTAGTTCAATTTACAGATAATTCTAGGAAAACAAGTGAGATAAAATACTGAGATGAGGATTACCAATAATTATACATGAATAAATACATTTATTCATGGTTCTGATACTAATTCAAGCTCTTAAGGAATAAACCTTGAGATCAAATAAACCTTGAAATCAAATTCTGTAATGAGTCTCCTTAATATGTGGCTTATATAATGTAATTCAAACTAAATCCACTTTCATATATATTCTCCCAAAAGGTAGACTCTGCCAGAGATAACACGAATCTGGAGAAAAAAATATTTGGAATTGGTCGCTACTACTTACCAAGTTCTCTTCCACCCAATTTCTATTTTTCCTTAAGATTGTCTATATTTCACACACACATACACATGCCCAGAACTTGTACCTTTTCAGAGATACTAAGTGGGCTATTTTGTGCAAAAGGAAGTTTTTAACAAATCTTTCCAATATGACGATTCAGTTTCACAGAAAAATCTTCTTTTATAATCTCAATCAACCATCCTGTCTTATTGGTAAATATCACAAATGGCAAGCCCTGGCTAAGAAAGCATCTTATTTTGCTTACATTTCAACAATTAAGAGTTCAGGTTACTCTCAAAAGTGATTTACTATTAAAATTACTTTTTTCCAGTGTGAAATCTTCCCCTCCCCTTAGAGGAAGGGAAACAGGGAGGAAGAGGCAAATGGAGAAGAGACTCCAGATTGTAGAGAGGGTACACAAATCTGTATACCTAGTATATGATTTGGGTCACTTTTTCACAATGTGGTAGTTACTTTCTTGTACATCTTACTAAACCTATAAGAAAAGACAGTGCTAAACTTATACATCAAAGCAAATATCATCTTCACAAGAATTCAATGAGGCCACAAAGATACTGTAACTTTTGGAATCTATCCAAGTTTCAAAGAAAAAAAAATCAGCAGTAATTCTGAAAAAAAGAGGGGGCGGGGAATCAACCTCCGACTTTCTCTTGCTTTTTGTGTCAGTTATTTGAAAAACACTAGAAGCAGACAGGAGGTTTTCTATATATTGTCCAAGAACTTGTTTTTTTATTTTTCTTCCTTAACTGCATCTACTCTTGCAGGGAGATCTTGAAGGTATGTGTGTGTTGAAGTTCTAACACTTGATTAATAAGTTGTGTTTTTTCCTCCATTTCCACCTGATTTTTAGCATCAGAATCGGGTCAGTATTCATCAACTCCTGTAACAAATTTTTAGGCCTTGAGTACAACAAAATTCTGGATGAATGATCTTCTGTTTGAGGCAACAGGAGTGGGTGGGACTGGGGGAAGCTCTTTTATGATCCACAAAGACATGAAAGTCAGTACAACTAGCTGAGGCAGGACAGGCAGAAAGGAGACAAACAGCGAAGGAAAGAGGGACTGTAATTTTAAAATAACTAAAAATACACGAACGCCCTCACCTTCTCTCCCCAGGCATGTTCTCCTCTAGGCCTGAATTCTTAGGAGGTCCAGTAAATCTTAGAGTACTGTAAGTCCGGTTATTTAGTCCCTACATACTTCATTGTTTTACAGAATGTACTTTTAGATGGATTAAAAGAAGCCTAGAGAGATAATATTTAAAAACTTAAGACTCGGGTAGAGACCAAGAGCTGTCTTGGGGGAGGGAACTGCTCCATGCTCCACAATCAAAGGGATCAAGCTCATTAGGTTGACGCCACCCCTGCAGGCACCCCATGTTCACTACTTGCAAGAGCAGCCCTGGACCCCAAAAGCACACCTCACTCAAGCACCCACACACCCCCTGCCTTTGAGAGCATGCCCGGCTCTGCCGTTTGCTTTCCTAAATAAACCTCTGCACTTCTTTCCATGTGTCCTGAAATTCCTTCCTGCAGCCTAAATAAAAAACCTGCCAGGGCTGAATGCAGGTCTCCTTTCCCTTCTGGAGGAACCTCCTGGGACTCCTATCCAGTGACACAATCACTGAACTCTAACAAACAGAAAAAGCAGAGCAGTCAAATTTCAAAACATTTTCTGAGTTGCCAAGAACACAGGTCAAGAAGTTCCCAAACTTGATTTTTCTGATTCTCAATTCTGATATGAAAGAACAGGAGGGGGGAGCTAATGCTAAGACATAACTATAATTTATTTTTTAAAAGGTAGTTATACACTCTTTATTATACTAAGTTAACAAGATTAACCTGAAAAGCCAGTAAGAGCTCATTCCAAGAAGTTCATGGAAAAATCTTCCAAAGAGAACCAACAAGTCTGACTCAACCTTACATGTGGATCTGTGACTGTGTCCTCATCATAAAGCTATAGTCCCTGTGAGAAGGAACCTTGCCTGCCCTGGATACCTGAGGACCATTTTTGATGACTTACTCCCCACCCTTACAAGTGTTGCATACTTATTTCCCTATCAATTTGCTTAGAATTAACAGAGGTGTAAATTAACTGCTACATGAAACCAGCAATTGCATCTTTTCTCGATGTATAATGCTATAAAAAATAATGTTAGATAAGGGGGGGGGAAGCATTTACTACACTAAAAACAGCAGCTAATGGATAAGTAAAAATCTGGTAGGTAAGTGAAAATTTCTCTGCCATGGTAGAATTCGTGACATTATTTGTCAAATATTAAGTAGGCAGCAAAATATGGCAGAAAGAACAGGAAACTTGGAGTCGGGTAGACAAGTGGGGTTTAAACCTCATGACTGCAAGTTTGGGAAAGCAGCGTCCCCTCTCTGGGCCTCAATTTCACTTATATAAAATAACAGCAACCTTGAAAGTTTGTTAAGAGGAAAAAATTAGGAAGGGTTTATAAAATACATAGTGTAGAACCTAGTGTATGGTGGATAGTGGACTGCCATCTCTCTCCCCTTCCCCATCCACACCCAAAAAAATTCTTACCCTCCTCCCAGGAAACCCATGATCACCTCTGTACCCATCTTCTCCAAAACACTTGGCATACATATTGCAGCAGGTTCTTTCCACAATTGTGTCCTGAAAAACAGAATCCATATCACATGTGATTTTTTCCATCCATACTGACCTGTATCACATTATACAATAATACAGACAAAATTCCCTCAAGGTTTTACAAATTATCATAATTATTAGGACCTAGTGAAAGATGGTGTTTCAAAAATAGAACTTACAAGTTGCTTCAGTAAGACACTTGGGAGGGATTGTAGAGTGATACTCAGAGGCTGTGTATATGAAAATCCTCTGCCAAATTCTAGCTCCTGAAGCTCTTCTAATTTATGCACACCTTCCAGGGCAATGATTAGGAGCCCAGAGAATCCTTTGAAAGATCAACAGATGGGAGATTTATTTGCATGTCCTTTGAATGGCCTTTGTCTCAGCCCCACATATTCATCTGTCATTCCACCATTCCCATATCCTGAATCCAACATGTTAATACACAAACCAGTTCACAGCATTCTTCTTGAAGAATTGTTCCAATACCTTTCACTCCCACCAGTTGAAAGTTAGCAGTTAAATGGAACAAAAAACACACTCACAGCTCTCTCATACCTCTACTTTTTTCATATCATAGATAGTTTTCTGCCCTTACTGTATTGTTACATCCTTCTAAACCCATCCCTGAAATCAACTTATGGTTCACTCTTAGAAATAGTGGTTATCATTGTGACTCCTTATGCACTTTCTGGTTCCCTTTCTTAAGGATGCACAATAGGACCACACTTCTTTGGGAAAGTTATAAACTCTCAGTGAAACTTAATTCCCTACCAGTAAAATATTTTAAGTAAGAAGTGGTCATGTGGATTGTTCTTGCCAGTGAAATGTGAGAAGTGACATGTGGCACTCCTGGGGAAGAAGTTTTAAGAGTAGCGCATAATTAGCCCCATCTCCTTTCCCCTGCCCCAGCAATTACAAAAGCATCTGTTGGGAAACATCCTCCTGCACCCTGAGTCTTTGAGTGATAAATAGGAAGCATGAAATGAACATGTTCTTACCAATTTAAGCTGAGATTTGGAGATAGCTTATTAATACTGCATAGTCTATTCTTCCAATGCACTTACTAAGAGCTTATCTGGATTTGTCCACACAACAGATAACAAAGGGGCAAGAATAATTTAGAAATTCAGCTAGAACTCACCATGTTTGTTGAATGTCAGAACAAATATTACTGTTGATATTATGGACAAATACAAATCAACTTTTTATTATTGTAAATAAGTTGCGGAAAACCTCATAGTTAAAAGTTGTGTACACAACCTTAATTATTCATTAGAAATAAATTCTTGGCAATGGAATTGCTGACCTACCATGCAGGCAAAATTTAAAGTTTCTTGTCACCTCCTCCCAAATCTCTTCCAGAAAAGTTGCAAAAATTTAAACCTCCAGGGGCAATCTACCAGGTAAATTAAGCTGGAAGCAAGTTATCACAGAAAATATCCATCATACCATTAACCATCCCCAGCAGAATATGTTGAATATACTCTACCAAGGAAAAAAAGATGAAGGGAACTTGAACAAGTGGCTGAGTGTTCATCCTGGGTTTGCTTTAGAGCCTTGTGACTCAAAATGGGAACTGGCAGAGCCACTGCATACCGTTGAACAAATCGTGCTGCACAAGGACGTCCAGCAGAGGGAGCAAACGTGCACCGAAATCCAGCCACCCGGCCCCTCATCACGCCAGCAGCCCAAGTGCAGGGTTGCTGGCACCTAGCTCACAGGACACCTTCTAATTTCAAAATATGCCCTATAGATAAGCGCAGCAAGCCTTGAATACGGAAAGGAAGGAAAAAGTGGAAAGGGGGTAAGAAGTAGGGAGCGTTTAGAGGGAATGGCAGTGCAAACAATAAGGCCCAGTTTGAGGCTGAAACCAGAGTTTAGGGGGGAAAAAGAAAAAAAAAAAAAAAAACCCCACGCTCAGAAGCAGATGCCAGGTTGGTAAACTGGCCAGCTGTCTTAACCAGAGAGATCCCGATGTCAGAGATGCTAAGAGCAAGAGGTGTCTCTCAGTCCTAAATACCCCTGGCTCCTACAAATGGGGAGATTGGGGATCAGCTTCTGGGGACTGAGCTCCATCGACTTGGGCTAACACACCCTCTGGAGAGTTGCAGAGCCTCTGTGCCTGGTGGGAGGAGCCCGGGCAAGGGAGGACAACTCCGCCCCTTACCTCTGCTGCGGAGGAGCTCCGAAGCTATCTTCAGTCTCTCTAAATCATCGTCCAGTCCATCTGTAAACACTAAAAGGACCTGTAGGGGTGGGGAGGGAGGAAAGGAAGAGAAAGGGAGAGAGAGGGAAGCCAAGGGATCAAAACGAGGAGGAAGGAAGGGGATGAGGAGGAGGAAGGGGGGAAATGGATGCTATAAATTGCACATTTCTTAAAAATGAGACTGAATTTTTCTGTGCTTCACTTTTCACCTATTCATTTGTTATTTTATTACACATTCATATTTGTCAACTTCCCCTTTCCCCTGGAGAAGAAAAAGGGGAGGGGATTTGTGCCAGCTTAAACTCTTCACTAAAAATGCTTCTTAAACCCGGCCAGGTGATGCACACCAACTCTGGAGTCTGAGGCAAGAGGATACAAGTTCAAGGCCAGGCTCAGCAACAGCGACACCCAGTCTTAAATCAAAAAAAAAAAAAAAAAAAAAATGGCTGGACAGGTAGCTCTGTGGCTCATAGTAAAGCACCCCTGGGTTCAATCCCCAGTATTTAAAAAAAAAACTTCAAAAAGAAGGATGGGGGGGTTGTTTTTTGTTGTTTTTAGTGCGGGGTATTGTTATTTTTGTTGGTTTTCTATGCATTTTCCACAATTAAAATGTGTCAACTTTATTCATAGAAAATTTTAGTTTAAAAAGTAAATTATGTTTGTCAAGAAATCCATTGAATGGGGGCTGGGGTTGTGGCTCAGTGGTACAGTGCTCGCCTAGCAAGTGTGAGGCCCCAGGTTCGATCCTCAGCACCACATAAAAATAAATAAAATAAAGATATATTGGGGGCTGGGGTTGTGGCTCAGTGGTAAAAGTGCTTGACTAACATGTGCGAGGCCCTGGGTTCGATCCTCAGCACCACATATAAATAAAAAAAATAAAGGTATTGTGTCCAACTACAACTAAAAAAAAAATATTTAAAAAAAAAAGATATATTAAAAAAGAAAGAAAGAAATCCATTGGATGCATGATCTAAGGAAAACTCAAATGTAAATTACAAAGCTTGGGAATGTCACTTAATCAATGTCACATGAAATCTTGTGTCTATGAGGACTTATGGAGTATATAGTTAGGCACAGCCAGAAGGGAAGAAGGGGCCTGAGGAGTGGGCTGCACTAGAGAGCCATTAGCTGTCACTAAAGACAGTCCAAGGTTCTGGCTGGAAAAACAGTGGACCAACTCCGTAATAGTTGATAATAGTAATAGTAACAGTAATGAGCTACCATAAGAAACAAAGGGGGTCTTAAAACGTACTTCAAATTGTCTTTGGAATGAGTTTATGCCACAGAAAAATCAGGATCACTAAACTTTGGACAATTTGAGGGCAGACTATTCTTTCATCCCTACAGGCATTTTTTAGTACAGAGCCTCTAGGGCTCAATAAATATTTACTGATTGAATGAGAATATATCTTTAGTTGATTCTTAATAGGCAAGAGTATGGTTTTCTTCTTATGTAGACTTTCCAATAAAGAACATTTCCACTGACATGGGTTACAAAAGATAGAAGGTCCCCATTCTATCCTGACTAATGGCTCCATAGCATGGGTTCTCAGCATGTATTAATTACCTTTACTTTAGCAGAAGAAAGGTTGATAGCATTATCTCCCAAGGATTGTAAAAAGTCTACATCCATATGGCTGTTCTTCTCAACCTGATGAGCCAAGAACTTCTGGATGGTCTCATCACTATATTTCTCAAAGCCTGAGTCAAAAATAAGCTGACCGTTTGAGCCAGGAAGCAAGTAGCGGAACCTTGGGTTGATCTGACCAGGAGTACCACAGCTGAGGTTAGAAAGCAAAGCCAGCCGCTGCATCAACTCTGGAAGTAACTCTTGAAGTTTCTGCTGAACTTGCTTTGCAGGAGTTGAAATATCAATTCCTACAGACAAATCCATGCTGCATCCTTTGAAGGTGAAGAAGAAATAAAATTACAGTTACAGACAGTATCCTTCAAGCTGGTCTTAAAAGAAGCACCTGAAAAGAAGTACAAGCTAAAGAATGGTGGTTGTTTAAGCCTGGGATTGTTTGTTACACAGTAAAAGCTAACTGACACAATGCATACTACTTCATACCTCTGTCTCTGCAGATCCTGTACCCTCTTGCCTGAAGTGTTTTCTCATTCTCTGTCCTGATTTGGTTGACTTATACAAGTCCTTCAAGTAGAAGTTCAAGTGCCTGCCCCACCCACTCCCAAGCAATCTCTGATTCTTGTCCCCACCTCCTCAGATTAAGCTATAAAGTGTCCCCAAATGTCCATTATGATTTTACTTGACCTTCTCCCCGACTAAACCAGGTTCTTTAAAGGTAAGTACTATGTCATCTTATTTTCCCGTGGCCTACCATAGACGCTCATTAAATGTTTGATAAGTGGGTGCAGAAGGGGCTATAAATGATCCTTGAGTCTCTTTCAGTGTTATTTGTAACTATTTTTTTCTCCACTGGAAGTTTTCCTCCTCATCTACCAAGAGCACTCACACCTTTTTTTAGGGGTGTGAGAGATCTTAGAAAAGGTCAAGACTAAATATAATCCTGAGTTTTCTGCTTCCTCTGCCTGAAAATTGTTAAGCCCTCCTGGGGAGGCTTTATCAAGAATTTGAAGGCACCTGGATATTTCAGGTTATACCTATACTCTCAGGTGTATAATGAGACCATTCACAAAATTCCACTGAGGATGCAAACGTTAGTGGTCACAGCTGGGCTAGAATCTACATGAATGAGTTGAAATATAAATTATCAACAATTAAAGGGCCACTTGTGAACAAAAGCATAATTTAAGACTAAGAAAAGCAAGATAGGTGATGTGGACATTTTCTCCTTAAACGTTCTTATACTGGAATATTTAATTCAATAAAAACAAAACTGCAGATCTGGGGGAGACCCTTCACCAATGAAAAAGGACATGAACGAAATAGTTTAAAGTTTCCTAAGGACATGAGATCCAGGGCTGAGCCATGAATTTTTAATTCCCTAAATATCATACTCCATACTAGCTGGTCAGATATGTTTCTGGAATTGCCAAGACAGAAAATGTGTCCCTCTCCTCCTTTCATTAAAAACAGCTTGGTTTTAATTTGTCTTTTAAATCTCTAGTTCAAATTCATAAGAAAGAACTTTTACTGATTTAATCCCATTTCTATATTAGACCTATTTTCAGGGGAAAAGGGATTTTCTTTTATCATAATGGTATATTATTCTGACATTTTCTAATTTACATTTTTTCCCTAGAACATTTTCAGCTGGCTTTATTCTGTAATTGACAAAGACAAGAAGCAATATCTTTCCCTTATTAATGGAGAAGGTTGAACCTTGGCAGATAATCTCTAAGGTCTAGGTCTTTTTCAGCTTTGTGATTCCAGAATTCTGTAATTAATTATGTTCCAGCTATTATTAAAGTGTCTAGCCAATTTCATCCAGAAAGTTAAAGACAAAGTTGAAGATAAACATAAATCTTAATTTACTGCATTTTGCAAAATAAATTGAAAAGAAAAGCAGGAATCCTGTATTTCTTCTCTCCAGAATAATGTCTACTTGTTTATAAACAAAAATAGGACCTTGATGCCTGAAGAATTTGCACTACTTAATGCAGGATAGCCCATAATCCATGCTTATTTTGAAAATAATTATACACATGCATTCCTTTCAAATGATTTCCAAATTCACCTCAACTACGGCAAAGAAATGATCTTCTTCAGACAGTGTAAGCAAAGATATTTATTTAATGTTCTATAAAATTGGACTTTAAAGGTTTTATAGGAATTGGCTGTGGTGGCACACGCCTATAATCCCAGAGGCTGGGGAGGCTGAGGCAGGAGGATCTCGATTTCAAAGCCAGCCTCAGCAATGGCAAGACACTAAGCAACTCAGTGATACCCTGTATCTAAATAAAATTCAAAACAGATCTGGGGATGTGTCTCAGTGGTTCAGTGTCCCTGAGTTCAATCCCTGGTATCAAAAAAAAAAATTATTTTTTGATAGGATGCACAGATCTCATCCTAGTATTCCAAAATTAAGCCTCCACCTCCAAAATAAATGCTGGTGCACTTTGGGCCCCAGCTTCTCATTAAAAAGCTCCCTACGCATACATAATGATTAGTTCTTGGGTTTTTGACATCAAACTACTGGAGAATCCAAACCCTGCCTCCAATACTTTCCAACTGTGTTTATTATCTTTCTCTCTCTCTCTCTCTCTCTCTCTCTCTCTCTCTCTCTCTCTCTCTCTCTGCCTTGTTTTTCTCCTCTGTAAATTGGGCATCATAATAATAGCATAAGTTTCACATGGAGTTGATGGGATTAGTAGATGTTTGTGTACCGTCCAACACGTTAGAAACCATGCTGTGCACACAGTGGAAGAGCCACGTTAAGAATCTCAATTGTGCCCTACCTGGAGATGGCCCTTCCTTGAGATCTCTAGTTATATGAAATAATATATTATTGCTTAAGTTGTGTCCTCTATAGGTAAAAACATCCTAATTGATAAGAAGATTTTTTTGATACTTGTGAAGTATCCAGTAAGACAGAGGGTGAGAAAGTGCTTTGTAAATGTCAAAAGCCCATGTTCTGCCTCCAGGTCGAAGGTGGTAGAACCTTGTCAAGAGACACATAAGTAAAAGCACGGAGGTGAGCCATCTTCCCTCCCCTTTTTTCAACCTAAAAGTATTCAATAAAAACCTCTAAATCCAATTAATAGTGTATATATATTTAGAGACAAAATTACAAAATGATCTTCTATATATTTTCTAGGAATGCTGAGATTCCTAAGTTCCACATACTTTGTTCTACATGATTCTGTTCTCTACCTTATTACACGATGCTATGCTATACTATATGCATCCTAGACACTCTATGCTGTACCACGCCATCCTTGTGATGCTTCTCTACTCTATCATATATGTCTCTCCCTCCTTAAATAGTGGTCTGAGGACCCACCTGGGGGCCTGTTAGAAATGCAGGCTCCCACCCCTGACCTACTGAATCAAAATCTGCACTTTCACAAGATATCTAGGTGACTCAAAAATATGTTTAAGTGTGAAAGATCCTGTTACCCTCTGCTCTAGTGTACCAAATCAAAAGGCAGCAGAATGCAATTTTTAGCACATAAATTCTAGAACCTGATTGCCTCGACTCAAACTTCAGCTCTGCTATTAACTTGGGTCAAATAACCCAATTGATCTATGTCTTGAGTTCCTTTCTCATTTTTTAAAATACTATCTATGTCATAGAGCTATATAAAGATTAAATGTTTTAATATATAAAAGCCCTTGAAGCAGTCCCTCTCTCTCTCTCCTCTCTCTCTCTCTCTCACACACACACACTCACACACTATTTAAAGGCTAGCTATTCTGATGATAATGTGGCTTGCTGTAAAACCTCACTGCATATGGGTATGAGCTGGAGCTTTCCTTACAAACATTTTCTAGGTCTCTCTTCCCTGGGAAAGAAGAGCAGAAGAATAGAGCCAGGCTGTCAGGAGGAGAAACACCTGTCTCTAGCCATTGTTATTTTAGAAAAAAGCTTGAGTAGCACATGCCTGTCATCCCAGCAGCTCAGGAAGCTGAGGCAGGAGGATTGCGAGTTCAAAGTCAGCCTCAGCAAAAGGGAGGCACTAAGCAACTCAGTGAGACCTTGTCTCTAAATAAAATACAAAGTAGGGCTGGGGATGTGGCTCAGTGGTTGAGTGCCCCTGGGTTCAATCCCTAGTAGCAAAGTAAAAAGAAAAAGAAAGAAAGCTTGAGGGGGAAAAAACTGGATTGAAAGTGGGATGTGGTGGCACATTCCTGTAATCCCAGCTACTCAGGAGGCTGGGGCAGGAGGATCACAAGTTCTAGGTCAGTCTCAACAACTTAACAAAGACCCTGTTTCAAAATAAAAAATAAAATGCTGCAAATGTAGCTCAGTAATAGAGCACAGTGGATCCAATCCTGAATACCACAGAAAAGGAGAGGAGGGATTAAAGATGACCTTGCCGTAACTGAAGCTGATTGGCAACAAAGCAGAGGAACCCTTGTAGAGCACCTCATAGCAAAGGCGGTGTTTTCTAATAGTCCTATTATATATAACTCTTATGCATCAATTTTTCAAAAACCATGTTCAAACACACACCAAAAGAAGACTATGTTCTCTTTTTCATAGGAGAGACTGCCTAAATGATATTGTCTTCTGCTTTATTTTCCTGTTGCCTAACCCTTCAGAGGGTTGTGCTCACACACTCCAGTCTGGTTTATCTTTGCCATAAGGAATAAGAGGAAGAGCTGTGAGGAATTGTGGGGATGGAGTTCTGAGAAGGTTCAGGCCTCTCAAGACCAGAGTGGTTCAGTTGGAGATGCAGCTCAGTGGTAGAGTGTCTGCCTGGGATGCAAGAAGCTCTGGGTTTGATCCCTAGCACCACAAATAAAGATATACAACAGTGCTTCCTGCTTTGTGTAGGCACTTATAACTAAATAAGTAGAAAAACATTTTTGAAAAAAACAAAAAGAGACCACTGTAGTGACTATGGAAATAATTAAAATAATCCCCAGGAGAAGGTGAACCACAGTGTCAAGTGCCTAGATCCTAAAAAGTCAACTTCCCATCCACCCCCCCACCCCCCAGTCTACCTGGAAGGATCAAGTTTTACATTAACAGAGCCAACTGGGTTCCTGACACCTGCTGGGAGCCATTAGCCAAGTAGGTATGACAATTTCCTTGCCAGCGTACCCCATGTTGCTGACATGTTGCAGCGACATTGAATGTAGGTGACCTTGCTCAAGGACCAAGGCAGATTAGGGTGTTCCCGGTTTTAAGATAATCGTGTTTAGGGCGTTCCCAGTTTAGGTTCCAGGTTTAAGGTTTAAGATTATTCCTGCTGGGAATAGGGCGTATCCTGCTGCCTGAGTTCCCCTTGAGTTCTCACGGGATTCAGACAGTATATTTTGGAGATAGAAGCCCAGTGGAGGTAGATTTGGGCAGAGAACGTGGATTTGGGCAGAGAACGTGGATTTCCCCAGAACGTGATTGTAGACGGCTGGTGTGAGTTCGGGAATAAAGAGTTGCTGTTTGAATCTACAAGCTGTGTGGTGGCTCGTGATTGTGTGCCCAGCCAGACTGCGGCATTTGTGCCCAGCCAGACTGTGGCAGACTATGATGACTTGTGAGTCAAATAATTTCTCTGTCACTCACCTTGTGGATTGCAGACTTTATAAAGAATTTTCTTCTCCAGGTTCTGCAGGGACTCAAATTTCTCTTCATAGTATATGTTATCCCTATCATTCGTAATCTCGAAAAGCTGGGAACTTTTGGCTTCTCCCACCCCAATGGCAAAAATAATTATGTTTCTGTCCCTGAGAGCCTTGGCTGGTATGGCTACATTATCCTGAGAGACCCCATCCGTGATCACAATCAAATATTGAAGAATATTGGGTCTCCCTCCTCTTGAACTGTCAAAAAAAGGCAGAGTGAAGTTCAAGGCTTTCCCCGTGCGGGTACCATCATTCATTTGCTGGACAGCCAAGATGGCTCTGAGAATATCCACCTTTGAGGAATATTGGTTGAGCCTGAATTCTTCCTGAGGGGTTGAGCTGAACTGCAAAAGGCCAATCTGAATTTCATCAGCACTGATATTGGATTGGTTCACCATCCTCTCCATGAATTCCTTCATCTTTTCAAAGTCTTTTGGGGAGATAGATTCTGAACCATCTATCAGGAAGATAATGTCAGCTTTTCTATTCTTACAGGCTGGGAGGAAAAAGAGCAGAACAGAATATTCATTCAGAGTCTGAAACTAATTAATTCCAAGTTCCCAGGGATAGTCTGGGTTAACATACACAACATGAAAAGATTTCAAAGGGAATGGAAGAGGAAGTCAATAAAATTAAATTTCTGTAACTCAACACAGACCATTCTCAAAATAAGAAACAGCTATTTATTTGGTGATGCTATAAAATTTGACCAGCTTGGTTTATTCCAGGTCAGTGTCACTTTAGGATGCTCATTACTGACTTGTCAACAGTGAATCACACTTAGAGAATGAAGCCTATTCAAGTAGATTAGACACATATAACTTGAGAAAGAGAAAGTGAAGTAAAAAAAATGTCTTACTCTCTGAGGAGCAGATGTCCTGTACCACTTCTTGTTGGATGGCCTTCAAGGAATCAAATTCATACACAAAAAACACCTTGTCTTTTGCTATTTCCTGAAGCTCAGTAACGTCAGCATCTCTTACTCCAATAGCATAAATGACGACTCCGTCTACCCTCAATCTCTCTGCAGCCTCAGCCACGGGGTCTGAAGATTTGCCATCAGTGATGACTATAAGATATTGAGCCACATTGATTCGGGCTGTGTCTGCAAAGACCCGAGTCATGTTACTCAGGGCCTCCCCAGTCGCAGTACCACCTCCACCCTGCTGGATGTCATCAATGGCTGCCTTCAGCTCTGCCACATTGGTGTACTGGCTGAGGATAAATTTGCTTTTCATTTTGTCTGAGTACTGAACGACTCCAAATCTCACTCTGTCAGGCCCGATCTGAAACATCTTTATCACCTCATTCATGAACACCTTCATTTCAAGAAAATCCTCTGGGCCGATGCTGCCAGACCCATCCATAAGGAAGTAAATATCTGCCTTCTCAATATTCACACAACCTGGGCAATGAGAAGAGGAAACAACCTGTTAGAAGAGAGTCTGAGGTGGGGTATAGTCAAAGCCATGGATCTGATCTCTACCATATTCCCCTAGCACTCATTGTCCCCTGGGTATTCCTTGGCCAAGAGCATGATCAGCCTACATATGAGCAAACCAGAGTGCCTGGGAGAGAAACAGCCTCCAACCAATGTCTGGAAGGGTTTGGATAAATACCCCAGTTCCCTTGCCCTCTGGTGGGATAATTCCAAAGTGAGTTCTACTGTTTCTCTTGAGGACCTACCAGAACTGGGCACCAATTGCCTACAGCAATAGCCTAGAGTTTACTTTTCACTCTCTGTTGGCTGTCTCCCCTTTCCAGTCTATATATTTTTTTCTTTTTCCTCCCTTTCCATTCTTGATATCCCACCCCTTACCAATATCCCTTAAGGTCACCCCCAGATAAATTCCTCACATCCCAATCCTTGTCACAGAGTCTATTTGATCCTACTCACTGAATGCATGAAGTAAATATAACTTGACATTTCACAAATGGGAAAGTTAAGAATAAAAGTTAAAAATTAGCTATGAATCGTCTCCATTTCCATCATCCTGCATCAAACCCAAGTCACTTTTTTTTTTTAAATGCATGGGCAAGAGTGCAACTTTCTGAAATTTAATTTAATTAATTTAAATTAATCTGATTCAAACTAATTTAAAACTTTCAGTTTTAAATGAGCCTAACTTAAACTACTCACTTTGTATTAAGACCTAGATTGCAAAGGCTCCTAGATTTTGACCGCAGGCTTGGCTCCTTCACAGCTGAATTTCCTAATCTGTCAAACAGGATCTCAACTCCTACTCAAGAAACTCATTGTGAGGCATAAGTAATATCATGTAAACATAACAGAGCTGAGTCCTTAAAAAATTTTATAATTAAAATTATCCAGTGTTTTTTTTTATTTGCTCTTTTTAGTTATACATGACAGTAGAATGTAACATTCTATTTATTTTTGTCATCTAGCAAGTTCCTCAAAAAGAGTGAAACACTTTTCTCCTCACCTTTTTAAGTGAAGTCAGACAGCCTCGTGTTATTCATCTCTGCATTCCCCTGACCCAGAGGAGAACTAAGGTCCTTTCCATGTTCCCTAGCTAAAGGGGAAATGGTCTGAGGTCAGAGTTGATCTCCCCTATTCAGGCCTTTATTTGGGAAGACCTAGGTTCATGCAATATGTGTGACATAACTTACATTAAAAGAAAGAGAGAGAGAGAGAGGAGATAGAAATAGACATACAGAAATAGACATACAGCATACAGATGAGAGAGATGAATTTCATCTTAATGAAACTCAAATTTAATTAGTCATCCTATATTTCATCTGGCAACCCTACCTTAGAGGATCACACATTGGAAATGCGGGTGGCTTAGAGGGGTAGAGAGAAAAGTAGTCTGCCCCTGGAGACTAGGGGGTGGGGAAGTTGTGGGAACATAGGGCAGAAACTGGAATATTGCTTGGAGACAGCTATATGGTTGCCTTGGAGTCTGAGAAAAGAACCTCTGTGCAGGAAGAGGTATCTCTCTAGAAGGCAGCATGCAGCAGTGGCCCAAAACAGCTCCACTCTAACCCATTGTGCAGAGGAGTCAAGGGCCCTGAGCACTGCCTGGCATATACATTCTTTTCAGTTTTGGCAAATGAAGGGTTTGGGGGGTTGGGGGAGATTATCTTACCATCTGGATACCACTGGGCATCCACATCTATTACCCACATCATGTGCTTAGCAGGGTGTCACATAAAAATAGCAAATGACCAATAAATGGTAGATATTATGATCATTATGATCATCCAGGATGGAATTCTGGTAGAAATCATCAATGCTTCTATTTATCTCTGAACTTTCCCCACCAATATCTCCTCTAGACTTAGGGATAATTTTCCCATTTTCAGATTTCTTCTTAGCTGAAGAAAAGAAGTCAGCTCTCAACACTTGATACTGTTTATGACTCAGACTCCTAAAAACAGGGAGTGGACAAGGAAATAAAACTCATCTTTAACAATTTTGTTTCTCATTCCCAGAGAAAAGAACTAAAAATGCAGGTCAAAGAGAAAGATGGAAACTTATTTACATATTTCATATTTCTAGACCTCAGGACAAGTAATCAAGAAATTACAAGATCATTCAGCATTTTTTTTAAACTCAGTAATTTTTTTCCCCTGAAGATATAATCACAGCCTTGAATTTTTAAGTCAGATATCTACATGTCAATGATTCTCATTTAAGTCTATGATTCTAATTTGAATTTAAGAAATACCAGCAGAGGTGAGCAAAAATAGAAAAGCAGGCAGATAGCAATAAGGATGTTTATGACAGCGAGGAAGTGGCAAATGGAAATTCAAACTTTAGGCATTTTTACTCCCAACACATACACGTTTTTTGTTTTGTTTTATTGTTTTAGCTGCATATACAGTAGGAACTCTCCTAACTAACCTAACTAACCTCCACCTAAGTAACTCATCAGATAAATTGCTGCTCTCCTTTCCTTCTGTAAAACATGAATTTGCTCCCACAAAACACTGAGTGCCCAAAGCCTGCTTTGCTCTGTGGAAAATAAGCTAACTACGATAGAGGTGGGTTTGCTCCCAGCCAGTTTATGGCAGTTTTATTATAATTACACAATTAATAAGATATTGTGCAAATCAATAAGACACAATTGTGAATAAAGAGGTTTACTGTATCTATGAAAACCAGATTAAATGATTAAAAATAATAAAGGTATTTCCAAAAAATTGTTAATATGCTAGGTAGCACTACAAAAGACAGAATATTTGACACCATGAAAACTGGGAAGGATTTCTGTACTTGGATTATCTCAGAAATGGCTAAATTCTCTACTCATTCAAAGGAAACTGAAACCAGAAATTACATGCAATATGCTATTTTATGGTTTACAAAAAAAAAAAAAAACCACACAGAAATCCAATATTCAAAGAAGCCTTGGCAATGGGTGTGGTGGCACACTCCTGTAATCCCAGCAGCTGGGGAGGCTGAGACAGGAGGATCACGAGCTCAAAGCCAGCCTCAGCAACGGTGAGGAAGTGAGCAGCTCAGTGAGATTCCGTCTCTAAATAAAATACAAAATAGGGCTGGGGATGTGGCTCAGTGGTTGAGCTCCCCTGAGTTCAATCTCCAGAACCAAAAAAAAAAAAAAATGTTCACTATTTACTTCATATTCTTAAGAAGAAAAAAAATAAAGACAAAAATTTCTAAGTTTTGGGTTTCTCTCTTTTAACAAATGGACTCTGGAATTTTTTCTCTTCTGTCAGGTAGAGAGGTAGGTACATAGAGCAAGCAGAGTAAAAACTTTGAAAAGAAAAAATTAATCAAATTTGGAAAAGGCCTCCCTACCTTCTCGTAGGGCATAGCCCATCCCAGGAAAGAACGCCTTCTTGCCCACAATCTCAGGGCAGAGCTGGTTCTTAAGCTTGCTTCCCACAACGAAGAGCTGCAAAAAAGATTCAAGGGGGATGGCATGCTTCCAAGGAGGATATGTGGCCATCTTCTCCAGGTCCTTGCTGTCTGAGGCATGCTGGGTACCAACTGCGTAGATGGTCACCCCTGCCCTGCGTAGGTGAGAAGCGGGTCTGGACACATTGTCCTGAGAGAAACCTTCTGTGATGACCACAGCTATCTGCCGCACACCTTGGTGGGATCGGCCACCTTTCTCCTGAATGAAAACTTCATTCCTCAGGAAATCCAAAGCAGCACCAGTCTTTGTCCTTCCTCTTCTTCCCTGGTAAGTTAATTTGTCCAAATGCTCCAAGATTTTGGCTGAACTCTGAAATGTATCCATGGAAAATTCAAGTCGTGGTTCCTCGCTGTAGAAAACCAAGGCAATTCTCAAGGCATCAGGACGAATGCTTAGAGAGTTGACAGTCGTCTTTAGGAAATTGACAACTTGTTGAAAGTTGGATTGCCTAGCCCTGCTAAATTCCTCGATGAGGAATACTAAGTCAGCTGGGATAGCAGTTGGACATGCTGTAAACAACCAAAACAGAAAGAAGTGTACTTGCATGAGAGCAGAAAAATAAAGACAATATTCACATATAAAGTTATATGTATCTACTACAATAATATTTTGGTTATTATGAATTATAATAATATCCGAACTTCATTCATTTTTGCACTTTGAGTTTTTATTTATTTTCCACAAATTTTTATTGGTGCATTATAATTATATGTAGTAGTGGGATTCACTGTTACATTCATACATACACATGATATAACAATATGATTTGGTCAATGTCATTCCCCAGTATTTCCTCTTTCCTTCCCTTCCTCCCTTCCCACTCCCTTTCCTCTATTCTACTGGTCTCCCTTTGCTTTTCATGAGACACCCCCTCTTCTTTTCCTTTTTCCTCTCTAGCTTCCACTTATAAAAGAATATATGCAACTTTTGACCTTCTGAGTTTGGCTTATTTCACTTAACATAATGCTCTCAAGTTCCATTCATTTTCCTGTGAATGACATAATTTTGTTCTTCTTTATGGCTGAGTAAAACTCCATTGAGTATATATACCATATTTTCTTTATCCATTCATTCATTGACAGACACCTAGGCTGGTTCCCCAGTGGGTATGTATGTATCCCCAGAGTGTGATGACTTTAATTCTTCAGGATAAATAATGAGGAATGATATTGCAGGGTCATTTGGTCTAGTCTTTTGAAAAACCTTCATACTGATTTCCATAGTGGTTGTACTAATTTGCCATCCTGCCAACATTCTCTCCAGCATTTATTAGGGCTTATATTCTTGAAGGCTGCCATTCTAACTGGAGTGAAATGAAATATCAGCAAGCTTTGATTTGCATTTCCCAACTTCATGCACTTTAGAATATAGTGGAAGCCTTTGTTTGACAAAGAACATCACAGGGTTCATGACTATCTCAAAATTCTCACAAGAAAGAATAGTCACATCATTTGCAAACTATGTAAAGATAAGAATATCCACACTAAAGTACTGAAGATCATTTTTCAACTTATCTAAGTGTCTTAGAAGAATTAGTCTAGACTAGTTTTTTTTTTTTCTTTGTTTTACTAGTTTCAAGAAGTCTTGGGACAAATTCTCTTTTATAGGTCTGAAACCTCCTCCATTTAATAATATTTTTCCTCACTTAATGAAAGTTGGAAATAGCAAAGTGAAACAAATCTGTACACCTTTTTATGATAACTCTCATGTTATTTCAACAGAGGTGATATGAAATGTTATAAGGCCCTGTGGAAAAAAAAAATCTTTGTCCAAATATTGGGTTAGCTGACTGTTTTATTTTGGTATAAAAGGACCTCCCCTTCTGCCTGCCTCAAATGGAAGAAGGAAGCATAAACTACCTGCCACTCAGAATTCAGATAACACCCCTCCTATTTAGGGCAATGCCCAATGTAGGGAAGCCCGCCATGTTTACATGTCAATGGGGTCCATCTGCTTTGATACATGATAAAAGAAATCTACCAAAATGATATATACCAAGGGCTAAAATTGGTGTATGGACAACTGAATATTGTGAAATAAGATCTAGAGAAGGTAAAACAGGGCCACGGAGTAAACTTTTGACTTTCTTTGGTCTCTTGGTGTCCTCTAATTTCCCTTATGGTCCTTTTTTTATATAAAGAATCAACAATCAACCCTGGGTTTTAAGAAAGGGTGTTGTCCCTGGTTTTGACAAATCTTGAGTACTTCCTCTAGAAACTCCAGAAGTCTCGGCTTCTCCCTTCCTTCCCCTAATGATACCAAGTACTATTATTCTCCTTTCAAGTTGTCTCCAGGATTCATCTCTTTCATGATTATCAGAGCCATGGTTGGGCTGGGCCCTGACACTCTCCACATGTGACCAGATGGCGTTTCAGCTTTAAATACTTTCTGGGTCTTAGATGCCACCTAGAACCCAGCATGCTCGCCAAAGGCTCTCTTCAGGACTGCTCTTGATCGTGCCACTTTTCCTGCTTAAAAGCCTCCAATTACTTCTGGTGCCTTGGGACCCTGTAATCAGGGCACATCCTACCTAATCTAATCTCATCCCTTAAAGCTCCTAAACGCTCCCTCTGGTCCCAGTTGGTACAGTTTTTCACTTTCTTCCACATTTATGCAGACTATTTCCACTTTCACATCCTTATCAGGAGTGAGAAACCCTTACCTGACTCTTCCCCTTACCAAAAGTGCCCCCTTCCCTTTTCCGCATATATCAAAATAACACCCTACTTAAAGGACCAGTGCAATTCCTTCCTTTTCACGTTCTCCAGTAGGCCTCCCTGTGCTCTAATTCTATTTAATGTAGTACCTATCAGGTTCTTGGCTCCTTGTTACTGTGCTGATTTATGCTCTTCTTGTCTCATATGTGTTCATAAAACGGCAAAGCTCCCAAGCTCCAGATGTTGGCAGGTCAGGGGAGAGGTATAAACAACTTCAGAAAAAGGACAGCTAGGTCCCTTTTGATGTGCAAATCAAAGGATCTTCACTAAGAGATAACTTAAGAACTGAAAGGCAAATTTTTTCTTTCTTTTTTTTTTTTTTTTTTTGGTACTGGATTAACTACAGGGCACTCAGCCACTGAGCCACATCCCCAACCCTATTTTTGTATTTTATTTAGAGACAGGATCTCACTTCACCATTGCTGAGGCTGGCTTTGAACTCACGATCCTTTTGTCTCAGCCTCCCAAACTGCTGAGATTACAGACATGTGCCACTGCACCCAGCCTGAAAGGTAAATTTTGACTGTGGGTATTCCAGGAGGATAGTAGGATGTTCAAAGACAGAGACAGAGGTGGGAAAGCAAGACATATACATGGCAATCTTTTGAATAGTTCAGTTTGGCTGGTGAGTAGAATATGTAAAAAGACTTAGAAGGAGATAAGGCCCAGTGGTTTCCAACCAATAGTGCACGTTTCCTCAGGGACATTTTGAGACTATATGAGGGTGTTTTGGATTGCACAATAATCGGAGATGCTACTGGCTGGAATCAGGGGTGCAACACCTCAGATGATGCCCAGGAAAATCCTGTACTAGGAATGTCCTACCCAAAACACTCAGCATCTTCCTTCAAATGCCAACCTAAGGAAAGATTTTTTAATCCCTTGGGAAAAGCCTGAATGCTTTTTAATGCTGGAAAATGTATATGGTAACTTGTATTACTGTTCAGAAATATTCAATTCCATGGGGCTTGGTGGTGCACACCTGTAATCCCAGTGGCTCTGGAGGCTGAGACAGGAGGATCCTGAGTTCAGAGCGAGCCTCAGCAACTTAGTGAGCCCCTGAGCAACTCAGCAAGACCCTGTCTCTATATAAAATATAAAAAGGGATGGACATGTGGTTCAGTGATTAAGCACCCCCCAGGTTCAATCCCTGGTACAAAAATAAATACATAAATAAATAAATATTCATTTCCATGAGAAAAATATACTTTCCCAATCCACTGATGTTAACATAGTCATCTGACTTTCTTTGGCCAATGGAATGTTCATAAATGCAGAAGGAGTCTGAAAAGTACTTATGTGATTGTGTTTCTCTCTTGCACCTCTGCAATTACCATGGAAAGAATATGCTCAGACTAGCCTGATGAGCCCAGGAAGATGATGAGAGATACACGGAGAAGAGCCAAGCTTAAATCAGTCAACCCTCAGCCAAATTCCAGGTCTACAAATGAGCCCAGGTGAGATCAGCAAAGTTATCGGTTGGGCCCAGTTAAGATCAACTGGCCCAAATCCGTGAGAATAAATTATTCTTTTTAACCACTGACTTTTCAAATGGTTTGTTATGCAGTGTCGTTATAGCGATCAGAGTTAATTAATACAAGATGTGTATTGGAGGCATCCCAGGCTTCCTTTTCCTATCCACAGATGTCAATACCCCACTACTAAGGAATCCAGAATGCCCCCTTTCTCTGATCCTTCCACAGATTTTCCTCCTAGAGTGTGAGACCTCCCAGTGGCTCACTTAGCCAGGAACCAAGCCTTACCTACTATGACTTCCTCCGTAGCCTGAGTCCTGAACTCTGGCTCTCCACTCCCTTGGATCACCATACTCACATCCTGTGATATCTGTCTGATTCCATCTTCTCCCTGCACATCATATACAAGCGCTGGGGACCCTATGCCCTCCAGTTCTCCCCTGTCAGCCTGCTGCACACCCACAGACACGACTTTCACGCCCTTCTCCCTCAGTGTCTGCGCAGCATCCCAGGCCTCATCCTCAGATTTGCCGGAGGTAATGACCACTGCGAATTGAGGGATGCCCTGTAGAATCCGACTTCCTGCCGCCTCCTGGAGGAAGGTCTGATGAAGGTACCACAGAGCTTTGCCCGTCCTCCTGGAGCCACCTCGGAGCACAAAGCGCTCACGGATGTGAGACATCATCTCATTCTGGGTCTTGTAGGTATTGAACAAAAACTCAGTGTGACCTTGGTCACCATACTGAGCCAGTCCAATCTGGTACTTGTCCCTGCCAACCTCCAGCATGCTAACCGTTCTGGCGATGAAATTCCGCATCCACTGGAAACTGGCCCTTGATGTTTCCTGGGAGGTGTCCACAAGAAAGACCACATCTGCATAGGCCTTAGTGTATTCTGAAAGTAAAGAAAGGAGGAAGAGGGGAAGACATAGAGGAGAAAGTGAATCAAATCAAGCTCTTGTGAAAATTTCACACAAGGATGGTTTTGTGTGGCCCATGTGAGAAGGAGCGGTGCTGCATCTACACAATATTTATATATATATTGTGCATTTCCCCCTTCTCTGTATGGATCTTTCACAAGGCTCTCTATTTTCTGCTTTATTAGAACCTTTCCATTGTTCTTTTTCAACCAATGGAGCAAGCATTAGAAACTGACCATTACTAAATAGTTAATCTGTATTAAAGCTTTTTATATACTATTGATTTTAGTCCTCATAGATCATTCTTCTGGGCAAGTACTATTATCTTCATTGTGCAGGTGAGGAAACTGACGAGGTGAAACTGCTGTTGATGCTTACATAACTGAAATATGGTAAATGAAAGATTAAAAAGCAGCCACTCTGGACTCTAAAACCCATGCTGTTTCCTCTGAACATGGTAGAATGTTCTTTTCTTCTTTTCTACTTATGAGAACTCCATCAATCTTTCAAATCCAACCCAGACACCCCTTCCTTTAGGAAGTCTCCCCAGATTCCTCACAGATAATAGACATTCCTTCTCCTGCCCTCCCATGATGCCCAGGATATGTTGGCTCATATTAAAGTTAAGCGGTTTGGTTGTAATGTTAGGTTTTGACACAGTTTCTCACCTTTTATCTTACCCTCCACTGCTGAGCACAGAGTCTGAAGAAGGCTTCCTGAGAATTCCTGCAGGATGTTGAAGTTTTCCGTATTGAAGAGAAACTTCTCATATGGCTCACTGGCTATTTTTTGTAATTCCTGGACATCCTGAACATTGACTCCTACCACATATACAATAACTCCATCTTCTTTCAACTGGTCAGCTGCATCCTGAACCTCATCATTTGACTCCCCATCTGTCACCAGGATAACTATCTGAGGAACCCTGTCCTTGGCCCGGCTGCCACCCGACTCAGTCAAGCAGTTGGTCCGGATAAATTCCAAGGCACTCCCTGTGTTTGTGCCTCCTGTGCGGTAAGGAAGATTCTGGATATGTTCCAGGACCACGCTCTTCAGAGGGTACTGGTTCAGCTGAAAGGCTGGGTAGATATTGTCATTATATTGGGCGAGTGCCACCTGGACCCGGTCACTGCTGATGTCAAGCCCCAAGACAATGGAGTAAAGGAAGTTCTTGACTTTCTGGAAATTCTGGGGTCCAATGCTAGTAGAGCTGTCCACTAGGAACACAATGTCTGCTAGGGCTACTTCTCTGCAAGCTGCAAAAGAGAGAGAAAAAGGCATGGGGGTCACTGGGTCTTTACTCAAAATACTGAGAATCAATGGTGCTAAGTGGTGCACAGAAAGGAATTGTAATAGCAGGCAGCTGATACTAAGTGGTCCCCAGTGTGCTCAGAGTGACATCACTTTCCTCCACTCCATAATCTTCCAGTACTTCAGACCTGCTCTACTGATAACTTCCGACATTGAAATCCACTTGGATGATCCCTTGAATCTTATTAAAAAAGGAAAACACTTGTGTAAATTGAGCATCAGGCTGAAAAATGAACTTTCTGGTCAGAATAAGCCATCAGCCTCCTATTCTGTCACAAAAGGAAGGTGCTGGCATCAGCAGGGCAGAAAACTGGAACATGTTCCATGTTCCTTGATATGTATCATCGCTGTGCTACCACTTAGCAGTTTTGTGACCTGTTTATCACTAAGACTTAATTTTCTTCTCTGAATTTTTTATAGTAGACCTCAGACTCTTATGGGATTGTTTGGAGGATAAAATAAGATAGTCTACAATAGTAGACAATATCTGTGCTCCTCCCAGTTCCTTTTGGGTCACTTTTACTATTTCTGTGCACTGCTCTTTGGAAGGTTCCCTCCAGCCTTTGGAACTTCTTCACTCACAATTTAAATTTTTTTAAAAAAAAAAAGGCCAGATCTTTGCTTGACCCAGATTCAGGGTCAATACACCTCTGAGGCATCATCTACATTTTTGAGTTCCCCTCCAGTATCAGGTTGAAACTGCTCTTTATGAAACTTTTGCCTGAGATCACACCCTTCCCTACATTCTTCTATTTCTCTGTTCCCCCAAACCCAGTATCCTTGCTTGTGACACACCACATGTATCCAAATCCTTGTCTCAGGCTCTACTTCTGAGAACACTACCTCACACACCTGCTGTAAAAGACCTGGGATTGATTAAAAGACCTAGCTCTGTCCTGCATGTCTTGTGCTACCCTTTGGCCTGTTTTCTCATTTGAAAAATGCAAATAATGATACTCATTACCTACATATCCAACAAAGTTGGGATGATGGATCAGTCAGATGAGCAAAATAAACAAGTTTTGAAAACTACAGAGCACCAAGCAAATGGTAGTTATTATTAATATGTTTACAAAACCTCTTTGTAAACCTTAAAGTGCTATAGAAAAGTAAGACATATAATATTTATTTGGTCATGCAAATGCAGAACTACAACCTCATACTTCTGCATCAAAGAGTCCAAAGTGTCACCTACTCTATACAATATACCAAAATAATGAATAAATAAGGAAGGCTCCATCCTCTTGTGGGTGTTGATGGAACACACAAGCAATTTTCTCTTTCTCTGCTCAAAGTATAATAAAGCAAAGTATGCTTTATTATGGGAGCTTGGTAATTAACTTATAAAGAATTTTCTCCAGCTTATGTCCCATCTCCAATAGAAGTACAAAGCAGATGAAAGGTACATCATCAACACAGGTAATGACAGGTAGTACTAGGAAATGCTTATGGGCACTTCTGGTTGCCTATACACCGTTCTAAACACTTTTCTTGCACAATTCTGTTTAATGCTTTCAATAACTCTCTAAGACAGAAAGTTTCATCCCAGAAAGAAAATTTAGATTCAGAGAGATTAAGTTACTTGTCCAAGATAACACAATTAGAAAGTAGAGAACTAGCTAGGCATGATGATGCCCACCTCGGGAGACTAAGGCAGGAGGACTGCAAGTTCAAGTCCAGCCTCAGCAACTCAACAAGATGCTGTCTCAAAATTAAAATACAAATAAATAAAAAGGACTAAGGATATAACTCAGTGGTAAAACATCCTGGGTTCAATCTCTACTTTAAAAAAAAAAAGGTAGAATGCAGAGAACTAGAATTTGAACCCAGATCTTTCCTTTCCCTAAATTTTTTTCTCTTAACCAGTATATTATACCAAACACTGGCAGTGAAATATGCACACTTTCTGGGAAAACTCTCCTATTCTGCACTCACATCCAAACAATATGGGTAAGTTAAGCTAAGAATAACAATATCATTCTAGAATCAAATAATACTACATCCTTATGTCAATATACTAATGACTTAATGAAATTTTAATTTCAAAATTAAACATGCACACATATGGAAAATAAGAAGAGAAGGAGAGATGAATAAGAGCTAATGCTTTGAGTTTTGTGACATTCAAATTTAAAAAAAAAGTGGGGGGAGGGAGAAGTTTGTGTACCTGGAGATACAGGGTCAACAGGTTGAGCTGCCTTTGCCAAAGTATCACACAGCTCAGGCTGCAGCTTCTGGGCAAGACTGACCAGGCCAGAGACTCTGGGAACAAAGGAGATAAACTTCTCCTTGGGACTACTTGCAATCTCCCTGAGCTCTGCCCGAGCTGCATTTCCAATGCCAACTGCATAAAGTAGGATGCCTGCCTTCTTAAATGCCTCAGCAGGTTCACGAATATGGTCCTCAGCCTGGCCACTGCTGACGACCACGGCGACCTGGGGTACCCCTTGGCTTGCGCGGCTCCCGGCTCCCTCCTGGAAGTGGTGATCCAGAATGAACTGCAAAGCCAGGCCCAACTTGTTTCCCCCAGACTTAAATTGAAGCCTCTGAATGTGTCTCAACACATCGACTTTGCGGTGGTAGGTGGAAAGCAGGAACTCTGAGTGGGGTGCATCGCTGTACTGGGCCAGACCCACCCGGATGGTCTCTCTGCTGACATTAAAGCTGTTAACCAGGATGTTCAAGAAGTTCCGCACACTGCGGGCATATTGGGGGTTGTTGCTGGCGTCCACCAGAAATACCACATCTCCCACAGAGGCCTTCCTGCAGACTGAGAAAGAGATGCTTTAAGATAAAATATTATAAGTTGACATCTACTGGCTGGAAGTCCATCTCTCCCAATGCAGTGCCTTACCCCCCACAAGTCCAATGGATGCCGGTATGCATACAGCCCGAGATACACAATCATCTCCTCTGATTCCTTGTAGCTGCCCATCTAGTCCCCTGCCACCCTTCGTTCCTTTCTGACAGACATTTGACCCTTCAATCAGATTCCTTTTCCTGGCTCTCCACACATCCCTTGAACTTAATAAAAAAAAATTTTAAAACATAAAAATAAAAATAACAGCTTTCTAAGAGTAGTGAGCACTGCTGGTGCCCACCTAGATCCTCTTTATTGGCTGGCACACCTATTCTCCCAGCTGCTGCCAGGGCTACAGCTAACTGCCCACATCGTGAGAAGAAAGGAAGGAGGGAGGGCGGGAAGGGAGAGCACTTATAAGGCTGGAAATCTTGAACAGCAATGAAAACATAGGAATCAAAATTTTAGAGCTGAAAATAATCCTGTGAGATTATCCATGCAATGTTTGCAGCCACAAGGCACATGTGACCACTGAGCACTTAAAATGTTGCTAGTATGAGCCAGAAACTACATGTTACATTTTACTTCATTTTAATTTGTTTTGATTTAAGCAGGCAATGCAGCTAATAGTCACTGCGTTGGACAGCACAAGCATAGAATAAGCAATCTAATTTTCTCAAGTCACAAAGAAAGAAAATAAGACCTGAAAAGGAAAAACTCAACTGTAAATCCAAAGAGCTAGATAAAAGCCAGGTCTCCTAACATCTAGTCCATATCCTGAAAGTTAAATTAAAAATCCATGTTTCAGGAGTTGGGGTTGTGGCTCAGTGGTAGAGCACTTGCCTAAAACATGCTCTAGGCATAAAAATAAATAAATAAAATAAAGGTATTGTGTCCATCTAAAATACATCAAAAAATATCCACGTTTCAAGCTAGTAGTGTTGGCACACGCCTGCAATCGATGTGGGAGAATTGGGAGACTAAGGCAAGAGGATCAAAAGTTTAAGGTCAGACTCCGCAACTTAGGGACACCCTGTCTCAAAATAAAACAAAAAGGGCTGAGAATGTAGCTCAGCGGTGGAGCATTTGCTTAGCAATTGCAAGGCCCTGGGTTCAATCCTCAGAACCAAAGCAGGGGTGGGGGAATTCATGTTTTAGAAAAGTAAAGACCAAGTGAGAGCTTAGACAGAGAAGGACTGGAGGAAGTTGGTCTAATCCAATCCAGAGACAATAATCCACCTGTCACTTCTGGAGAATTAAGCTTTGACCCTTCAATCAGATTCCTTTGCAATCTTGTTGGGAAAAAATAACTCAGTGACTGTTCTAGGGCTGGCTTACTGGTTTGTCCCTGAAACAACTCTTTCAGGATCAGTCAAATGCAGGCTATGAAGTGTTTCCCTGGCCTCTCCAAGCAGAAGAAATCTCCCAGCTGTAGGAATATTTCTCAGACAAGTATTGGTTCCATCATGTGCAACTACCAGGAGGATTACATTTTCATACTTCGTAACTTTCTTAAGCCCTCCATTAGTTCTTTGTAGTTTTAGGATTTTGAAACATTATAAGACGACTACCACCACTTCTCTTCACAGGGATGGGAGCCAGGGACAAAGGGAAAATTTAGAGAGCTTCATGTTTTTTTTTTTCCCCAACAAATAACAGTCTATGTAATTATATTTGAATATTTAAACCTCATAGTGTCTCACAGGGGCTTCAGGCTATTCAAACAATCTTCTCTTGATATGACTTTCATCTTGAAAGTCTCAACACTGTTAAAATGACTACAAAAAATTGTAGCAGTGTCACCAATATTCAGTGAAGCTATCCATCTCATGATGACAATTATCCCCTTGGAACAGCTCTGCCATAGAAACAAAGCAGAATGCAGAACAGGCCCTTTTTACAAAAGCACTTCAGAGCCTGATAATACATTCTGAAGTATGGCACTTTTAATATCCCTTTTTTTGTCATTTGAGATTAAGTATTGAAAAAAAATCAAGTACCCATCATTTAACAAAAGCTCCCAGATTCTGACTAAATTCTCCTTCAATGAATTGATTCCCCTTTTCTAAGTATGAAGGTCCTAAAATATTTTCTAAGATTGTCAAGAACACCAGGTTCCTGGCAAGGTAATCATTTGATCTTAAAGAATCCCATGCATTACCAATCCTCTGTGCTCTGATGAAGTCAAAACTAGCTGCAAGAAAGATGGTGGCCAAAAACATCTTCCAAGTCTCCATTGTAGATGCAACCCTAGAAAGAAAAAGAAACCCTGTGATTTAAAATCGTGCCTTCTTACACTAAAAAGGAGTGTCTCACATTGCATGTAAATTATATCTCAATAACATTATTTTTTAAAAGAACAATTAAACCAAGGCTGAATGTTTTCTTTGATATGAGGATGTTGACTCATAATGGTGATTGGTGGGTGGGAGCATGGGAGGAATGGATGAACTTTAGATAGGGCAAAGGGAGAGAGGGGAAAGAAGGGAAAAGCAGGTAGGAATGATGGTGGAATGAGTTAGACATCATTACCCTAAGTACGAATGGTGTGAAAATACTTTGTGTACAATCAGTGTCTTGAAAAATTGTGCTCTATATGTGCAATATGAAATGAATTGCATTCTGCCATCATGTATAACAAAATAGAATAAATAAAAGAAAAAGAAGAACAATTAAACCCCCAAACCAACAGATGCTTTTTGAGAATAAAGGAAGCTGGATACAGTGGCACGTGCCTATAATCCCAGTGGTTTGAGAGGCTGAGGTAGGAGGATCACGAGTTCAAAACCAGTCTCAGCAACTTAGTGAGGCACATAGCAAGACAGCAAGACCCTATCTCTAAACAAAGTATAAAAAAGAGCTGGGGACATGGCTCAGTGGTCGAGTGTCCCTGAGTTCAATCTCTGGTAACCCCCCCCCAAAAAAAAAAAAACTAAAATAAAATATTAAAAGGATGGACTGTAAATTAGCTCACTGGTAAAATGCCCTGGGGTTCAATCCTTTGTACCAAAAATAAATAAATAAGAAGGAAATGTTGCCACTTTGTTTCAGTTGTGCAAGGAAACTCGTCTTGTTGATCTGACTCAGGAAGAATTCTATAAACACCCACAGTGTACACCTCAGATTTGTCTATTGAAAGTTGTCCAGATGTGGCTATAAAAGGAGAAAGCATACAGGGCATGGGATACAACTTCTGTTTCACATGCTGAATTCACTTGGTGGAACATAAACATGTCTCAATGATTTTGCTTGCATTTTTATACAAGAGTTTGATGACCTGATAAACATTTGTAGCATGCAAAAAATATTCAAATATCTCAGGAGCACATCTGCCTGATTAAATCAGCACAGCCCAAAAACATTTTATAAACTCCCAGCAGAAGCAGAACATGACCACCCTTTCCCCTAAGTGAATTCATATCCAAAGCACACATTAAAATCATCTGTTCTCGATTCCATTTCTACTTTTTCACTCTACGAAAGTACCTTTGTTTAAAAATAAGAAAAACATAGTAGTCACATTGAACGAGGGGTCCAAGTGGGCAGGGGATACTTCATCTTTTCATTCTTAGCTATCCAGTTGCACATATAGAACTCTTGGAGAGAAACTACCTGAATTTGAACCTCAGATCTACTACTCAATAATGGTTCTTGGGCAAATTGTTTCATTTCTCTGTGCCTCAGTTTCCCCAAATACACCTACCTCGTGGTGTCATCAGGATTCAGTGAGTTCATTAATACTTAACCCAGGCCTGTTTGTTTAACAAACAAAAGAGGAAGAACTCTTTTGTTTGTTAAATAATATAATAATCTTCTTGGAACTTCATGATATAAAATTTAAAAAGAATTTTCCCTAACCTGAAACTCTAGAGTCTGTAGAAATAGAGGAACTGATATTTGCCTAAGTATTAATGAAATAATTTTTGCATAATTTGTATGATTTGATTTAATTCATTCACTTAATTTTTGCTCTTTGTTTGCTGTTTTGTAAGTTACTCTGCTAATATCTTCATATTTCTCACCTCAAACCTGGAAGAAGCCAGCAGATCAGGCATTACTGTGCTCATTTTGTTGATGGAAATAGAAGAAATTGGGTGCAAGAAAGGTTAAGGAGCATACCAGAACTACACAGCTATGGGCTGCCAAGACCTGCCCACACCCCCCAGGTGACTTGATTACAGGTCCAGTGCCTGAATGGACATCAAACATCTGCTTCAGACCCTTCAGTGAAAATCTTCAAGTCAAGACTTGTCATTCAACTTTGGAGTCTACTTTATGTCAAATAAAGACCTGGGAGAAATTTAGCCTGGGGTAAAAATGTAAACTGAAGATCCAAGTTCTTTTATCAGTTAGATCTAAAAGGAGCAACATTTTTTTCCAAACTCTGTGTTAGATACTGCAGGGAATAGAATTCTAAATGGCTCATTTATGCTTAGAGCACTGAATGATATATTTGGGGAGAAAAATTTTACTATACCAGAAACAATTTAAAAAATTGGTAAATGTTAAAGAACATTTCTTTAAACATATCAAGAGTTTAAGCAAGAATCTCTATAGTATTCACATCCATTTCAGCCTTGGGCTCTTCAGATGGAATATTATGTGGAAATAACCATCACTGTGCCCAGAAATACCAGATATCCAACAACTGAGTTCCACTTTCCACAAAGTGGTATGGCTGCCCTGCTTCCCTAAAGACCCGGATCTACTGTTCATGCTCAATTTACTCCTTAAGAATGATTCAAAGATATGAGGCAACCACATCTTTTTCATTGTTTATAGCCCTCACCAAAAAAAAAAAAACAGAGTGAAAAGACTTGACTTCAAAGGCAGCCCTTAGGCTTTGGCTCTGGTTTCAGCTTGGCCATTTGCTCTGTAAATTTGAACAAGCCATTTCATCTTTCAGGGTTTATGTGATGGCTCTTGAAGTCTTACAGTTGATTTGAGCAACCAACTCTATTGACTACTATGTTATAAACATTCCCCCAAAGGGCTGGTCCAGTGATTTTCCAATGAACAAATATGATACAGTTAGACTTCTCTGTTCCTCAGTGTTTTGTCTGTGTGTGTGTTTGTTTGAGGTATTTGGAGATCGAACCCAAGGCCTCCCACTTTCAAGGCAAGAACTCTGCCTCTGAGCTACATCCCCAGCCCTTTTGGTGTTTTTAGTTTTGTGTGTTGTTTTGTTTTGTTTTGTTTTTAATTCTGAGACAGGGTCTCACTAACTTTGCCCAAGCTAGCTTCAAATTTGCAATCCTAGCTCAACCTCTTGAATAACTGGATTACAAGCAAGTAGACACTGTGCTCAGCTTCCGCTCCTCATTTTCGACATAATCCTCCCCTTAACACCTTCTCTGGAAGGCAGATAAGTAATTTAAGGGAAGATATTTTAAAAACTTTAAATATCCAATCCTTGGCCAGGCGCAGTGGCACACACCTGTAATTCCATCAGTTCAGGAGGCTGAGGCAGGAGGATCAGGAGTTCAAAGCCAGCCTCAGCAACAGTGAGGTGCTAAGCAATTCAGTGAAACCATGTCTCTTAATAAACAAATCAAAAGGACTAGGGGTATAGTTCCGCGGTAAGCACCCTGGGGTCAAGCCCAGTACCAAATATAAATAAATATTCAACTCCCAATAAGTTTTCACCTCATGGTAAATAAATTATTATATGTCTCTTAAATAACAAACTGTTTTAGTGAATTAAGGACTGTATGAGGGTACAGATCTTGGGAGTTTGAAAGTGCCAAGAAAAATGATCCAAAATAAATTCATGCACCATCATTATTTTTTATTGTAATAAATTTTTGAAAAATTCAGGATAATAAAGTTAAATAAACCAGGTGCACTCATATAATCCCAGCAACTCAGGAGGCTGAGACAGGAGGATCACAAGTTCAAGGCCAGCCTGGACAACTTAGTAAGACCCTATCTCAAAATAAAAAAATAAAAAAGAACTGAGGATATAGCTCAGTGGTTAAGTACCCCTGGGTTCAATCCTTGGTACCAAAAAAAAAAAAGAAAAAAGAGGGAGAGAGATACTCTGGTACATTATGTGACAAAGGGCTTCAGTGCCAGCCATGTACTCTTAAATGTACAGCAAAATTTATAATAATTCATAGAGAAAGTGAGAGAGAGAAACACGGCATTGAAATATTCTTGCAACTTTTTTCCTCAGTGTTTATTGTTTGCCACACAATATGTCAGGCACCGATTAAAAGAAACCATGTTTTTTACCTCAGCAAATTCAGAGTCCAATGGAGAAAGAGATAAATTGCAATATTGTGGGAGGAGCAGAATGATAGAGAAATCTTTGCAAGGTGCAGAGAAACAAGGTGTGTGAGTGTCTCTCTTCACCTGAGTGATGAATTCGCAGAGCAGATGATGCTGAAGGTAAGAGTTGAAGGAAGAGCAGAAATCTGCAGGTGAGAACTAGGGATGTGGTAGAGTGCTTGCCTAGCATGCCTGAAGCACTGGGATCAATCCCCTGCACCACTACAAAAAGAAAAGAAATTTTCTGGAGAGCAGGCAGAGAAAGGAAGTTCCAGACAAAGAAGAGCATGTGCAAGGACACTAGAGAGACAGACACTAGATGGCCCTGAGAGAGCCTGCTTAATCACAGCCTCAGGACCTAAGGTTGTGAAGAGGTGGGACATTTGTGACGCCATCATCGGTGCTCCCACATCTGTACTATCTAAACTCTTAGGACATTGTCAGTCTCTGAGAGACTTTTGGTTTTCTTTCTTTTTTTTTTTTAATTTTTTATTGTTGGTTGTTCAAAACATTACATAGTTCTTGATATATCATATTTCACACAAGACTTTTGGTTTTCTATAATTCCTAAGCCGAGAAGGTGGGCTAGAAGAGGGAACCCAGGCAGAATTTTTCAGTCTTCAACCATAAACCTTAACTTCATTCATTTAAATCAGCAGTGTTTTTTATGCCACACACCTTCAAGGTTTTTGTTCTCCCTCTGTGAACTCAGCTATAAAATGAAAATCCTCCACTTCTAATGTTCTGTGTCAGTGGCTTTTAAACTTGAGTGTTGCACCAGGCATGGTGGCGCAAACCTGTAATCCCAATGACTCAGGAAGCGGAGGCGGGAGGATCACAAGTCCAAGACCAACCTCAGTAACTTTAGAGAGGCCCTGTCTCGAAAGAGTTGGGGATATGGCTCAACAGTAAAGTTCCTCTGGGTTAAATCCCCAGTACCAGAGGAAAAAGATTTAAAAAAAAAAAAAA